GTGTATAAACCCAAATGTTGAAAACTGGCTATATGGGGGCACTGGAGTCTGTCCATTCATATCCACTTGCAAGGTCCAGGTAGAGCAAGAACACAGGTGCTTTATAGGAGCAGCTCTTTCTGCACAGCTGACTCAAAAGCCATCCTCCCTACACACCCTGTGCTCCCAGCAGGCTTTCTACAAAGCACTGTCCTACCAGAACATATTCTTCCATATAATTTAAAATATGGAATTACATTCTGAAATCTGTTCCCAGAGTCTGATCCTCCTTACACAGGGTCAAGTGTCCAACTGTCATGCTCAAAATAGGTACGCTTATAATATGGAAGAGAGGTTGAGAAAAGCATGAGCAAAAAGACTCAGTGTAGTTGGATGAGGGAAATAAATTTGAACCATCTTGTCTCAAAAACAACTCCTCAAACCACGGTAAAGATCTGGAAATACAGCTTTTAAAACCTGTGACCACTAGAATAGCTCTGAAGCTGGGAGAGAACCAGTGCTCAAGACACCATCTCTTACCTGATCAAACCAGACCATGAAGTAGGTAAATCTGCCATGCCACCAGGGTTTGTGGTGGAGCCCTGCCCCCAGGCTATACCCTCTTGCCAATGCAGATTGTGAGGAACAGAAACAGGAGAAGATGCCCAGAGGTAAAAGAGGAGGAGAGGACTCACTCCTGAAACATAGCTTGTTATGCTAGGGTGCAAGGCTTACAAGTAGCTTCACACCAGCCAGAACGGAAAGCAGACCTGGGCTCAGGGTTGTGAGCTGACAGAATGGGAGGATAGGTGGAACAGATTCACTGGGAAAGGGTCTTCCTTTACACTGACATTCTGGAGCTTTCCTAGCACCCTGCCTTAAGTAGGTAAGGCAGAGGAACAGAAGTTGAAGTTACCTGCCCAAGATGATAGATACCCCAGCAGCAATGAGAAACAAACACAGGTAAGGTCCCATTATGACACACAGGCTGCTAGACCCCACAGCTCCAAAATTCTTTTCCCACGTTCAAGACTCAGCTTTCCCTATGACTTCCATAGTCATTACACTTAAGAATGTGATCAGCCCAAAGAAAGAGGTTAAAGAGTCAATTCTGTAACATCTTTTAAGTCAAAGGCTAAGTTCCAACACTAAACCGCTTCTTACTCCCAACAGTATCCTTAAATAACTTACAAATTAAAAGCAACAAGCCTATCACAAGCTCTAATGCAAAATAAATAAAAACCTAATTCATACTATGAGAAAATACAAAAATGAATATTCAGAAGTAATTCAAGTCTTCTTCTGATACATTTACTAATGAATTGTAAATGCCTCTAAAAAAATTATCAGAACAAAATGCTATTTCAAAGGAACTATTATTTACAGAGTGCTGCACTTCACAATGCACATGAATAAAGGAGAATTAGAGTCCCAGGGACTTCCACTCTTAGAAATCTATTGGAACCAGCCAGATTTTCTCCTACATCTCCTACAAGACAGAAAGCTGGCTAAATCTCAGTGCAAGAAAGAGAACTCAAGATCATCTGCCATTGTAATTGAAAATAGTCTGTTTCTATGCCTTTACATTTCGGAAGAGTGAGGAGGTGTGGAGCTCAATAATGCATCCCAGTACCAAACTTCGTAAGCTGTAGCTGCCAAATGAACATATTTATTTTTAAAGACTATGTTTAAAACCATTACTACCAAAGTAACTTCTGCCACTAGTCAGCAGCTCTCCAGAAATGAGATTCGATAAATTAATTGTCTGTCTTTGTTCCAAGTAAGTATTTACTAAACAGAAAAACTTCAGAAGTTTTGGAGATTTATTTTTTTAAGTATCCATTAATTAGACAGTCAAACAACAAACCCTGTGATGATTATTCATGGTAGGTATTCCACCACAAAGAACAACCCAACCACAGAGTTGGAAAACACCCGGGAAAGAGTTCTGACAAAGGAATTTCTCTGATCATTCCTTGCACTTCCCTTCCACGAGAAAGCTGTTGAGCTCCTAGGCACAGATCCCCCAGGACATTCCTCAGCAGAAAGCATCAGTGCCCTGTAAACTTGTCAAAGCCCAGGGCCAGATTCCAGTTCCCTGGTTAAAACCACTTATAAGGGGATTTCTGCTCAGTTGGAAAGGCAGCTCCAGAGCTTGATGAGATACAGAAGCCTCAGAAGAGAGATGCTCTGGGAAAAGGTGGGCTTCCTGTTGGCCCTCTCTGACCTTCTTTCTAGCTTGTCAGTTCCCCCTCCTTACAGGTCATACATAGGAGTCTCCACGATAATGGTACCTCAAAGTTTCTCAACAGCCAAGCCAGCATAAGAAACTCCCACCTCTGATCCTGGCCACTTGCTCCCCTCCATGTTGCCATCTGCCATCTCCTAATTTGAAACAATACCACTGCTTGTACCTGGTTTAATACCACAGAAGCAGGGCTTACAGTGTAGTAAAGAACTGTTTTTTTAAATACACTTCCATCTTTCATGATGTTAGCATGGTGTCCAGAGGCACCTCCACAAAGCACAAGGTCTCAAACTAGTATTTACTTTCCTTATAAGATATTAAGTATTTATCAAAAGGACTTCTATAAATGTGATGAAACAATTTATTCCTTGAGCACTGATCTCTCACTGCTACCAGTCTGAATCTCAGACATTCTAGGAATATAAACTAAGGCAAGTAATACAACAGTACAGTACATTTTAAGGGCTCAATTTTGTTTAAATTCGAGCCACTGTAATCTTGACTTCTGCTCCAGCAAGAAGAAGACTAAATCCTGACAACCTCTGAGATCTAACCAAAGAACCATGCAAGATGACACTAACTCCTACAGCTAATAGAAAATGACAGCAGGCAAAGACTTTCTGCATCTTCTTAAAACAGCCATCTCCCTAAGGGATACCTAACTTTCTTTACCAGAAGAAGAAACAAGAGCCCCCAACCCTTTTATATATGGGTTTATACAGAAATGCATGCATAGACAGACATACTTCTTTCTCAAATCACTGCTCCAGAGCTCATTGGATCAAGACCACAAAAGGCATGCCAGTAACCTGCTAGACAGCAATGTCTTGAAATATTTGGTTAAGTGCTTAAAAAAAATACCATCAAATGAAGTTTTATTTGGTAGGGGATTTTAAAAGCCACTTAATAACATTTAATTAGGAGGAGGTTTTAAAACCTGTATCTAGAAAAAGTCAAAACTAACAGCCATCATTTTAATTATATAACTATGAATCAGTTTTAAAGGCACATGTTGGGGAAGACACTAAAATATTTGTGGGCCTCAAGCATTCAAACAAGTTGTAATAGGAAAGGCTGGAAAATTCAGACATTCCCCTCTTTTCTAACATCTGAAAAGCTAAAGCCTACAAAAAAGCAGCTCAATAAAAGAATGAGCCAGGAAGGATGGCAACCTACACAAATGCACATTTCCACATTACTACCCCAGAGCCTGATCCTTGTACAGTTAACCTTCAAACCAACACCTGCTGTGCCCAGAAGAAAGTTTCAGGCCTCTGAACTGATTTCTTCTGTACAAGCAATAAATCAGTTCTGAGGTGGAGCTACCAAACAGATTACATCAAATAATTATTTTAAGAATAAATACAATGTAATTAAAGTTAGCTTGGCACTTTGCTTGCTTTCTTTAAGTAAGAGACTTTCTGCATTTTTAAAAACAGTGAAGCTAAGAAGCCTGCTTAAATGTGATCTCTGTCAGTAGCTAAAACCAGAACTGTTAATAGACACAGAGGGACCTCTTCTTACAAATGAGGCATAAATTATTCCTATGGCCAAGATGTCCCTTTGGTAAACAGAGCTCATTTGTATAAACTAAAGAAGGGGCATTAACTCACTAAAAAATACCAAGAGGCACAACAAGCTAATGCAAGAGGCCTGGTGTCAACATGTCACTCCGATAATCAAAGCAAATGTTTCCTTAACAAGAATTTAAGTAACAGATTTTCAATAAAACCATTTTAATAAACAGCTGTAAATACAACAACAAAAAGTTGAAAGCATTTACACGATTTCGTTTCTTTTGTTTGTTTGTTTGATCCCATTGTATCTCAGAAAAGACTGACAGCTTTACTAGATTTGGGAAACAAGAATTAAAAACAAAATCAAGACAAACCAAAACATAATCAATTCATGAATACCATATGGTAAAACAGCTACTGATTTACAGCACTTTTTCAAACTGTCTTTCAGGTAATCAGTTACTGAGCAGTTCTTTTTCCTCTTTAAACCTCAGGAACTTTGGCCAAGCAGAGTGGGTCTGCCAGATGCCAGCAGCACAACAGCTGGTAGAATTGCTCCCGCAGCTCCTGTTTCTAAAAATGCTCAATTTGGTTCACGACATCCCACGACAGCAATATAACAAAAGCGGCTCCCTTTTTCAACCCAGCAAATCTGCTGGCGAAAAGCACTGACGAATTCAGGAACAACTTATAAAGCCAGTATAAAAACAGCTACTTCTAAAGCAAGCTTTCCTAAGCAAGTCGTGCTGGCTTCACAGGGAATTCAGCTTTCTGTGCTTCACGTAAAGCTGTATTGGAAGCACAAAAAAGTACATTAAGTGGGTTATACGGAGAAAATTTCCCTGAAATAGAAATAAATTATGAGATCACAGCCAGAGACATCTACCTCAGAAACACAGAACAGAAAACACAGACATAACTCCGCACACAAGCGGGACCAGCCGCGCTCGCAGCTGACGGACGAGCCTAATGTAACCTCCCCACGGCGCCGCAGGGGACTCAGCAAGCCCAGCCTCGCACTGCGGAGTCGGGGGACAGCCAAATCCTATTGGGAACAAACCTCTGGAAAATTAAGTAGCCAGCCTGGCGGGGAAGAGAAAAGGGGAAAGAAAACCAGGGACTCGCTCCGGACAGACCCGCAGTCCCGGGCCAGCCCCTGCCGCGCTCGCCCTTCCCTGCCCTGAGCGTTACGCAGCGGCTCCGGGACGCGGAAGCCGGCTCTCAGTTGGCGAAAAGGAAGGGGAGCGGGCGCGTACCTGCATTTTGGAGGGTATCGATGTTCTGCGGCCGGGCGGCGAACTCAGCCACCGCCTGCACGAACTGCGTCCGGGCGCGCTGGTACTGCTCGAAAACTGCGGGCGGCAGCGCCGGGGCACCGGATTAGCGGCAGTGCCGGGGCACCGGGTTAGCGGCCGTCCCGCCAGCCCCGGTCCAGCCCCGGTCCAGCCCCAGCCCCGGCCCCGCCGCCCCGGCCTACCTTGCAGGACCTGCCTCTGGCTCATAGCGGCAGCGCCACAGCAGGCTGCGCACCCGCGCACGGCCGCACTCTGTGTACTCGTTGCCCTGGAAACCGGGCGGAAGTCGCGCCGCGGGGGGAGAGGCGGGACCGCGGCCACGCCGCCCGTGACGTCAGTGCGCCTGCACGCCGCGTGCAGCCCCGACAGCGCTCCGCTCCCGCTCAGCCTTGCGGGCACTGGTAGCGTTTGCTCTGCGGGCGAGCTGCAGCATCCGTGTGTTAAACACAGGGGCGCGGGCGTTTGCGGCGAGAAGACTTCGGCTGCTGTGGCAGACCCGAACGGCGTGTGCACACGCCACGACGGACAGGGCGTCCGTGGGTGCAGATGTGAACATGTGCAGGAGCCGCTGCTCCTACGGAAGCGCAGCGGGGGAAGAGACGGGCACAGGATGGGCAGAGCCTGCGGGACGAGGCTGGGGACGGGACAGGGCTGACGTCCCCGCAGGGGCTCACTCCCCACGGCCTGCCGCTGCCGTATCTCCGCGTCCCGGCAGCGCGGAGCAGACGGAGGCTGGCGTCAGGGCTGGGGCCTGGCCGCCCCCGATGGTATCAAGGAGTGGCGCCGCGGCCGCCCCACCAGTGCTTCTCGATGGGACAGGGTCCGAGGGGGTCCCCGCGCCCCTGAACGCCCTGCTCAGGCAGCCACTCCTCGGACCCCAGCGCCGCTATGCCCCGCGGTCCCGATAGCTACCTTGTGCCGCTCCGCTGCTGCGCAGCTCGCCAAGGGAGGGGCGGGAGAGCCCCGTCGTCTCAGCTGAGTCCCACGCCGGGGTCCCCCAGCCCCTCTCCTGCTCCCCCTCCGATCCCTCGGTGAGGGAGAAATAATAAAAAAGGAGGAGAAAATAAAAATAAGTGCAACCGCTGCGCTCCCGGGGCTGCCCCCTCCGCACGCCGCCCCGCATTTATTCCTCAGGGAGGGGGTCCTTTGATTTTAATTTTTCCTTTCTGTCTTTCCTCTTTTTTCTTTCTCTCTTTCTGTCTCTCTGTCTCTTTTTGTCTTTCTGCGTCTCTTGCTCTCTCTCCTTCTCTTGCTCTCTCTCTCTTTTCCTCTGTCTCTTTCTCTTTCTCTGTTTCTTTCCACCCCTGAGATTCTTCCTCGGGAATCCCCAGTATTACTTTATACCGCCGCGCCGGCCCACGCCGGAATTTTTCGCTCCGCACGGGGAATAAACTCATCACGCGGAGCCCCCGCGGAGCGCAGGGGCGAGCCCGTGGGCTGGGGCTGCGGTGCAAGTGCCGCGGAGAAGCGGCGGCCCTGCTGGAGGGGAAGGCGCAGCTCACCCCGTGCCCCGCGCATCCATCTGCACAGCCCCGGGAGGTCCTTTTTTGCGCTGTCTTCGCAGGGGTAGCGGCACGGTGGGGCGGCCCGGCAGCAGCCCTCTGGCTTTGCCAAGCACAGGTACTGGCGGCTCCTTTGCACCACAGCAGGATTTTGTACTATGTTTTTTTTTCATCAGAGCATCATTCTGGCAGATAAGCCAGGCGCTGCTTTCCTCTATCCCCACCTTGGTGCTTCCCACTCTGAGGACAATTTACGAGTAATTCCCTTCACAACCGGTCGGCCAAGGCGTGGTTTATGTATGAGTAAACCCAACCTTGGAGGTCTCTGTGGCAACTAATGCAAATGGTGGGACTGAAAAATGAAATCAGGGTGGTCAAGATCTGAATGGAAATAGACTCTCCATCTCCTCCAGTATCTTCTGAGGGAGGTTCCCAAGAAGAGGGATATTTGTGAATGAAGTTACTGGTTAGGTCTGCTATAGATCAGGCTGCTCAGAGGGAAACCCAGAGTTACTATTCAATTAAAAAATGTCCCTTTCTGCAGCCACCCTGCACCGCACAGTGGCTTCAGGATTTCACAGGCTGCTATTTTGTTTTGCAAAGCTCCAAATGTACAAAATCAGGTGGCTGACACTAGACACACATATTATTTCATAGTCAGTACAAAGTTCTGTCTCACACCTTAAAGCTGAAAGGCTGAAGTTACTTCAGCCGCATTTCAAAAGTTTGTGAAAGTGTAAGAAAGACGCCTAATTTTAATAAATCACCTCCGGGGATCCTCAGTTGAGGAGAGGGGGGGTTAACCCAAACAGTACCGGAGAATTAAGTGAGCCATGTGTTTCCAGGAGTATTTAATGCGGGAAAAACCCTCTCTTTGAGGAAACAAACCAAGCAGGCGATGTGCCGTTCTTTACAAATAAATGAGACAAATTAAATCAGGTTGGTGAGAAGGTCGTTTGCCACAGAAAATATTTTGGGAAATTATCACCATGTGTATTTGGGAAGGGAACAGCTGTTAAACACATTTCTTTATACTTATTTCTGTTCTTAAGTTAAATAAAAAAATAAACAAACGGTGATGAATTACTTCCAGAGTTTTGGGGGTTTTAAAAAAGCAGATGTGTCGATTACAGATAAATTGATTTATCTGCCTCATTAAGTCTAATGTTCCCATAAGTGAAACAACAAAACGCACCCTGAGTACCTCCAAAACTTGCTGTCACATTTCGTTGCTTGATACTGAGGTTCTGTTCACATGGTTAATAATAATAATAAGGAATAAACAGCATGCAAATGCGGTCTACAGAAATGTCACCGGTTCTCGCAAAAGTACTGAAGGCGGAAACTCATTTATGGAAATGAAGTACTTGTGAGACTGCATTGCCCGCTGCTGGGGTGCTCATTAGTAGGAAACCTGTATCCTCAGGCGGGTGGTGTTAGTAACGACCGCGTTACTGCACACGTCAGCTTAAAAAATAAACCGGAGACTAGAGGATTAGGCAACAATTATCCAAATTAATAACGTGCCTTCGCTTTCCGGTGGGTGTTCTTTAATCTCAGCCTTTGATTCACACGGAAATATGCTCGTAACGGGCGGGAAAAGCATCAGTGTCCCCAAGTCGGTAAAGGGCGAAGTTGCTCCTCGAGTTTCTTTGGGGGGCGAGGAGTGCCGGGGGGTTTCCCACGGGCTCTCCTGGCTTGGTCCGGCCCCGCGGGTCAAGGCAACAGGTGGCTCTGTTGCCTGGGGCAGCCTCCGGCGGGAGGGGCCCTGGGTGGCAGGGTCAGGGTCCCTCTCACTGCCCCCGACGGCTCATGCCCCGCCGTATCCCACAGCTAAGCCGTGGCTGCTCCTCTGCTGCTAGAAACTCCGCGATGCCAGTCAAAAGGTGAGGTCTTCCTGCGTCTTGGCATGGCGGCTTCCACACCGGCTGCGGAACCCCGCCGGGACAGCCGGTCGGTGCTGGGGAACAGCCGGGCTGGAGCGCCCCGGCCGCCCCCCGCGCCCATCGGCACGGCGCTAGGGCGCCCGATCTGACCCTGGAGGGTCTCCTTCGCTTGCAACAAGCCTGGAAAATTGTCCAAGGTTTGGGGCAGGTATTTACAAGGTTACCGGTACTAGGGGTTTAATCCGGTGCTTCCAGGACGGAGGACATCTGATGGGAAGAGCAATGCGCGAATTCCTCTGCTGGCTCCGCGGCTAGGAGACGAAAGCGCAAGGCTGTTGGAAGAGGGTAGGTGAAGTGTGGAGAGGTTAGTGGAAGTGAATGGGATGCGGGAACCGAAGTGCTCCCTCAAAGGGAGTGTACTGAAGGAGGGATCTCCAGTTCCATGTATAGCCCCTACGGCAGTGTATTATTTGAATCCTTGAATGATTTTAAAATTTCAGTTCGTCTTTGCCATTACCTGATTTTAGCAAAAGTTCTGTCAGAGGGACCGAGCAGTAGAGAGTCCCCTCTCTTGTTCCTTGATTTTTGCTCTGGGTTCCATCGTCTCACTCTGTTCTGGGGTCCCCTTTCCAGAGCTTCGGTGGCGAGTTTAGTTTGTGAGACTTTCCTATAGAATAAATTAGTTCTGTGGGGCGAAGACAGGAACGTCGAGGCACTTCAAACGCGCTAGAAAGAGGACTTCTCCTTATTCTTCACTTCAGAAATCTGTAACCGTAAGCATGTAAACGGTAGAGGCTTGGCTAGTGGAGATTTGGTGCGTCGCCATTGCACTAGGCAAAGACAGAACAAAAATTATAAGGGATCAATAAAGTGGAAGGGCAAAATGTTTCAGGTTGACTTGTAGGATGAGACCAGGAAATATGAGCTGATAGTGTTGAGCCCTTTTAACCACGTGCATATGGTCACACCTCTGGTTTCCTACGGAACTGTCAGCGCTTGTGCAGTGACATTAAGAAAAATAAACAAATATTTTTGGGACGTTCCAAAACTGAAAGACGGAGCTTAATTTATTCTGGGTACTTGAAAGGAACGAGGTCTTCCTTTGTGTCTGCTGCTCCGGGGGAGAATGTGTGTCGGCTTGGCGCTGAACGCTGCCCACATCTACATATGTAAACCCAGCAGCGCTCTCCCCCCTCGCCGGCAGGATTGCGGGAGCTGGTAGCTCGCAACAATGCTGCCAGACAATGCGAAGTACGCGGAGCCTGCGCGGCCGCGGCTAAGGGGGAGCTGGAGCTGTCCAGTGTTTAGCTCTTGATGGGGAAGGACCCAATTTGCGCACTGCCCGGCGGAGCCGCGGCCGCCCCGTCTTCCCGCCCCGTCATTGTCCCTGGTCTGCGGCGGCTGGAGGGGTGGGGACACGCCGCAGCCAGAGGACGGTCCCCGCTCTGCAGAAGAAGGTGTAACGAGAGGCACTGGCAGCAGAAAAGGCTGCAAATCGCTGTCGTGTGGTTGCTATTAGCAACAAATCAGCTGAACAGCCTGCAAACCCCGAGCACCTAGGGCGGAGGTGGCAGGGAAAGAGCCGGGACCGGGGAGGCAGGGGCCGGAGGGTGCTCTCCCGGGGGTACCCCTCCTGAATTCCCGGGCTGCCTCCTGGGGGGCGGCCGGGCAAGGGCTGGGCAAGGGCGGGCGCTGCTGCCACCGCCTCGCACGGCGCTCCTGGAGAGGGGAAAGGCAGCCCACGTAAAACAGACAAAATGGCAGCCCGTGGCTTGTAGGCATCCCTCTCGGCGCCGAGCGCCTGCCTCGCCTCCGCCGGCCTCCGCTGCTGCCGTGCCCCGGGGCTCTCCCTGCCCGCCCGCCCGGGAGCAGAGCCCCAGCCCTCTGTTCCCCGAGGATCCAGGCGCAGCCCTTCGCCCTCCGTAACCAGCCCACCCAGCGTAGAGACCAAACCCCATCCCTCCAGATGGGACACGTCCCGGCCGGCGGCACCAGAGCACACGGTGGCCGGCCGGGCGGCATCTCCGTGCCCTGCGCAGCCCAGCACTGCCCGAGGGCTACTGGCTCCGGGAACCCGCAGAGAGTGCGCACAAGCTCCGCACCCCGCGCAGGGAGAGCTGCCTCTCAGGGGCGTCACTCACTGAGCACCCCAACACGTTGACTATGCCAACACCTCCCCTTGCAGCACTGCTTTGGGGTGGTTTTTGTTGTTGTTGTTGTTGTTTTGGTTGGGTTTGGTGTTTGCTTGGGGATTTTTTATCGTATTTCCCATTTGAAGTTTTTTGTTTGTGTGTACAAGGCTGTTTTGGGGTATTTTTTGTTTTGTGGGTGTGGTTTTTTGTTTTTTGTTTTTTTTTTCCTGTGCATTTTTATTTAGGGTCAGTCCAATTCAGAGGCCTCCAACAACGGCAGGATCTTTGGCACAACGCCGTTGTCTCACTGATCAGAGAATGCCTCGTCGACGAGGCACTTCTCGAGCATCCCCAGCACGTGCCGAGGGAGGAGTGAGCAAGGGCCGCCCAGGAGCTCCGCGCTCTGCGGAGGCCCCGGGTTGAGGGGCGGCACCTCCCGACCTCGGCCTCTGCCGCCGGGGATGCGGCGTGCGAAAGACACCGGCGGCAGGAGCCCGGCTGCAGGCGCTGATGGGGAACAGGCGCGGGCCGCCTCCGTTGCTGTTAAAGTGCCTCCCAGCCACCGGGAGACCTCAACCGGCCTCTGCCTGGGGAATATTCACCAGCCACACCGTTGAGAGCACCGGCGCGGGGAACGCATCTGCCTTTCCCCGGCGATGGGGAACATGCAGCCCTTTGTCTAGAGGAGGTGCGATACTCCACTGCGTGCCACGAAAACACAGGCGCCAAATGGCTACCGCGGCCCTGTCACCTCTCCGGACTGGGTGTTGAGGGTGTAGGAGCGCCCCTGGGCCACAGCATGCCAGGGGGAAAGGCTGGGGCCGGACGGCCTCAGAGGGAGGCCGGGTCCCTGCGGCAGGGCGGGCGGGGACATGGAATTGCAGCGCCCCGCAGCTGGAGCGGGAATGCCGGAAAGTCATGTCCCTGCGCCCCCTTCGCGTTGCGCACATCCCCAAATATCCGGGCTCGCTTCAGCACCCACGCCAGGGGCAGGATGGGGGAGGGAAAGCAGATGGGAGAGCAGGGCGGTGCGGCAGCTACGCCTCTGCGGAGGGCGGTGGCAGCCGGGCGTGCACCCAGCCGGGCGTGCCCGCCTCCCCCCTGCCCGGCCCGGCCCGGCCCGGCCCGGCCCGGCGGTGAAGAGGGGCGCAGCACCCGGCCGCGGTTTCCCGGAGGCCGCTGGGGCAGCGCTGCGCGCGGGGCGCGGCGTTGCGCGGTGCAGTGCGGAGCGCCCAGGGGTCCCTGCGCGCCGCCAGATTCGAACGGGGTGCGCGGGGAAGTTCCGCGGGCGCGAGGCGGGAGAGCTGCGCAGGCGCAAGATGGCCTCTGCCCGGGCGGCGGCGGGGGGCGCGGAGCCGGGTCTGTAGCGGAGCGGTCCGCGGGGACCACCGGCGGGGAGCAGGCCCGGTCCGTGGCTGCGGCTGGGCCGAGCGGCACGGCTCCGCGCCTCCCTCCTCCCCGCTGGTAGGCACTGCGCAGCGAGGCGCGGTCGTACCCCGCCGGCCTTCCGCGGGAGGTGGGTGCCCCACGTCCCGGCGGCGAGGCCCATCGCACCCCGGAGCCACTGCCCGCCCCTGGCGCCGCCACTCGCGGCCTCTCCGCTGCCGCTGCTGTCCTGCCCGGAGTGCCCGCGGCTCCGCCGTAGAGCCCGGGAGTGGAAGTCCTGTTTCCCTGCCCACCCCCGGCCGGGAAAACCTCCTTTTTCCACGGGAATTACGTGTCCTTCGTGCTTCACCCGTTACCGACCTTTTCCCATTTTTTTTTAAATCCCACATCATCACTGTTAAATAAACACAAATGTCCCATCCCCAAAACCGCTGAGACCGAAAGCTGCCCGTCCCCGCCGGGCTTCAGCGGTTTTTCTGTTGTCCTGGTGGGACTCCTCTGCTCCTCGGTTAGTCTTGGGGAAAGGGAGTGAAGGAGCCGGAGGTGGAAAAAAGTGTTCGCTGCCAGAACCCTTGCGATTCTTGAATTAATAAAGCACTAAGCGGCCGTGGCTTGGAGCTCTCGGAGTGGGACAACGACTTTGAACCGGGGAGAGCGGAGACCCGCGGCCCCGCGGGCGGGAGAGCAGGTTCTTCTCAAGGCGTCCTCTTGATGGGAGACCGACAGAAAGCACGAAAAAGAAACTGTTCATAGTAAAATAAAGGAAATCCGTTTCAAGTACCCCGAGTAGAAACAAGAACGTTAAAAATTAACAGCGGAAACAGGAAACACTTATCTGAGTAAACACTGTCTCAGAATTTCACCGTCTTAAAACCGGGAGGGCGTAAGGTGCTCCCCGGGGCCACAGCCTCCCGCCTGCCCCGGCGGTACCTGCTCGTCCCGCGCCGCACCGGGGCTAGGAACCGGAGCCGGGCACGGCGAGTAAACTGATCCTCGCGAGCCGGTTTTGTGGCAAAGATCGGAACTGCAGGAGTTCCTGCGTGGTGAGAGATGAACAGTCCAGAAGTGATGTGTTGAATGCAGGAGTACAGCTCCCTGCCACCGGGGCGAGGGGACCGGGCGGTCCGGAGCCGCGGCGAGGAAGAAAACGGATGACAGAGGTGGAAAACAAGAGGTTTTGAGCCGGTACCGACCCAGGGAGGACTTTCTTTGGCCGCGCTTTGAAAATACCCCGTGAAACGGGTGAATCCTGGGCAGTTGCCCGGAGGAGGAGGAGGTGACCGGCGGGACGCCCTCGGCAGCCGGGGGAAAAGACCAGCAGCATCACTCCCGCTGGAGGACGCATGCCTCTCGCTGTGTCTCTGACTTCGGGTTTCACTGCCCCCGTCATTAGCAGAAAACCGGAGAACGTCGCCTTCGGGTGGAGCTCCCCGTAGCCCGCCCCGTGCTGCCGGGCCCCCGGCGCCGCTGCGAGCGCCGCCTTTGCCCCGTCCCCTGCCCGCGGGACGCCGGAGGCGCCCGGTTGGTCCCCGGCGGTGCCCGCCCGCCGGCACCGGCCTTCTGTGAGGCGGTGTCGGAGGTTGCTCTGAGCTGCGCCAGGGGACAAACAGCTCGGGTTGGCCCCCTTGTCGTGGTCCTTCTCGTTCTCTTCCTGCACATCTCTGCATTCCTCCTGTCTCTGCCCGCCTTCTCCCGGAGCCCGAGCTGCTCTTCACGCTCTCCCTCCTTCGCCTTCCCCGGGGCTGGATCGTTACCGCCTCTCCCCCGTCCCGGCCCGACACAAAGCGCTGCCTGGAGCTGCGGGCACCTCAACCAGGGCGGAAAACTGGGTCGGACGAGATAGAAACCCATCATTTTCCAGCGGGCACAGACCGCCCCTGACTCTGTCTTTGATCAGATGGCTTGTGAAAAACTTAGAAAAAACGCAGCAGAACTCGGCTCTATCTCCCGATCTATAGAAATGCAATGTCGGATAATGGAAAGGTTCTTCTTACATATACTGAGCTGAGAATTCTTTCCAAATAAAGAAAATTTCCGTACATTTGTAAGGGAACCCGTTCCCTGTGAAGCTGCAAAGGAAAACCCTGTGAAACAGGGGAGGTTGAGAGCGTAGCTTCCCAAGTAGAACATCAAGATGCTGTCTTTGATCGTCCTCCCGATTGGGCTTAGCAATATACACGCATCGTAGTGCCATCTGCCCAGTGTCAGCAGCAAAACAAAAGTTTCACATGGCAGCACAAACATCCTTGGTGGCTCCTGCCGCCCGGCGAGAGCTGCTGAAAAGAGTTTGGTCTTTTTCGGACTGGAGATGTCAGACTGGGAGATGCTAAAATTGCTGTAAGAACTCAGTAAACCTGGAAGGAATTTTTCAGAGTCCTCTTTCATTGCTTTATGCTTCACGGACACTCTACAAAGACCGATAATAGTTCCATTTTGATGCTAAAAGTTGTGATTATCAGCTACTTCAAGTACAAATAAGCTCGATTTCATCAATGTACTAACGTACAAGCCTCTGCTGCAGGCTCAGGACTTGTCTTTGGGTGAACTAATTCAACCAGTACAGTGTGATTAACCCATATAGTTGAAGGAATACTGCCAAGAGAGACATGGAGAGAGGTATCTTTACATTAAGACTTATTTCCACTGAGGCTTTAACAGAAACCCAGAGCACCACAAGAACCTGGCACTTGCCATCAGAAAAATCACATTCTTCCCTTCCAAGGCAGTGCAGTTTAACAGGGGCCAGCTCTGAGGGAACAGGAGGTGAAACCTGTGGCTGACTGGGCTGTGAGAACACACCGTTTGCTGATTTTCAGGAATAAGTCGGGGTCAAATAAAGAACAGCAAATGTTTTCGGGGGAGGCAACCAAAACAAATCAGGGCGATTTCTAGGCATTTTTTGTTGTTGTTAGTTTAGTGCTCTTTTGGTCACTAAAATCTTTTGTACACCCAGAATAACTTCCAATGAGAACAAGATATTTGTCCTTTAACACCATATTACCAACAGAGGTCATTTGCTATTTTTCAATGAATTATCCCTTTTATTTGTTTATTTCTTTGATCAGCTATAAATGAAAGTTATTCGTGTATATAAAACTGAAGTTTTTACTGTTGAAATTGAACTGTACATGTTTACTACAGGAAAAAATATCAACTCTTGTTTAACAAGACATTATACATCAATAAGCAAGAACCTTGTGGAGGATTTGCAATCACCTGGTCTATAAAAACAAGCAGGACAAATAACAGCAATTTATATGCAAAAGTAATGATTTAATGACTATAAGCAAGACAAAGCAATAAGAATTGTGCTTCTTTTGCAGACTGGAGACAATGAAATGTTTAACTACAATTTTCCCGTACAAACATGAAACAATATCCATATAGAATAAACACCCTCACAAATGTATAATTGATGGGTGATGAACACACACAAAGTTCGACCAAAGCAAAGCACAAACTGAAAAGTGTTCTGGGCTGTTCAGATTTTATGGTGGAAAAGTTTCTTCTACTGAGAAAAAAAAAACAAAACCAAAATACCCTAAAATGCACCTATTTGCAGGCCATTAAAGAGGAGGCATTCTCCAGGATTTATCTGAAATATTAAAGTACCTGTTAAATTTTAATGAAGTTAGTACTGTACCATATACATATATATTAAAACAAATTTAGATAAAATGCCTTCACCCAGCCACTTGCTGGTTCCATAAAATTTATACCAAATAGTTTATGGCTTCTCTAATGATTCCGTGTGCTTTTAGAAACACAGTCCCACCACACCAAATAATAAAAAAGTAACCAAACAGGTCAAAAACTTCCATGTCCATCAACATATTTTTTTTTTTTTTTTTTACTTTTTTTCTTCACTGCATCACTTCAGCATTTGGTAAAGTAAAAATATATCACTTGGAAAAGAAAAAAAAAACAAGACAAAGCCAGTAAAATCCTTTCAAGATCGCCAATTGTCTTCTGGTTATATCAGAGACTCAAATGTGCTTTCCCAATACTGTAGCTCTCACACGCAAAGTGTTTCTTGCAGTATGAGCAAAGCTCGAACAGGCGGCATCTGCAAGGGTCGAACCAGTTTAGAAATTTAACAACCATATCATGAGTGCATGAAACACAATATTTTCTTTATAGTATTTATAAATATATCATACAATACTGTTTCCTGTTATGTCATATACCAATATGGCATTGTACAATAAGCATAATGCCATCTGATTCTTACAAAAGCGAATCATTTAAACAAGTCAGTAAATAAAACGGTAATACCCGCTTTTAGGCATACAGATTGTAAAACTGAAGTTTACTTTTCTTTTGATCGGTTCTGCGCAGCAACAGAGGAGTAAAAGATGCAACATAAGAATCAAAATGGCTAATACGCAAAAATTGTTATTCACAGTGACATGGCTACATATATGCATTATTCTATGCATATTCTTTCCATTTTGTTGGATTTCAAGATGAAAAAGCACTTGCTTTCTACAGGTTCACGAAACAGCATAAGAACAATAACAATCGAAGAGAACGCAATGGAGGAGTTAGTCTGGATTAACAAACTACTTCCTGGGATTTGGATTGACTTCTGGAGACTGCCGAGTCCAGATGATGGGGGACGGAAACAACTCCGTATCACTCAGAACAAGGTGAAGGTGTAACTTTTGTTTGCTACCCAGTCCTCTGAAAACCATTTACATTTCAATCTTGCGTTTCCATTAACGTCCATCCTGAATGTCACTTAGTCCTTTTATAGCCAAGTTCAGTGTCACTACAAAAGAAAGCAATTTGGACGAGAGTCACATGGATTAGCATCTATAAAGCTGTAATGGCATGGAGAGATCTATATAAAGAAGGGGCAGGGGGGTAGTAGCCTGGTTGGCACATCAACCAGATGAAGTGGCCGAGGAGCCATTTATCGATGTTTTCCGTGCTCTGTTGGTAAAGGAGGACTGGTGGTTACTGCTGGGGCTGCTGCTGGTGCCGTTCATGGTGCTGGAGATGTGGGGGAACTGGGGGTGAGGAGACTGGACAGGTGTGCTGGGGCTGGGCAAACAGGAGGAGGTGGAGGGGATGCCTCCCGCTGGGCTGCTCGCCTTGTCGCTCCCAGAGTCACTTTCCAGCTCCCCACTATTATTTAAGCCTTCCCTCTGGTGACTGATCTTCATCCTCTTGCAAGTAGGTCGGACCCGGTATTTCAGGGGGAGAGGCCCGTTCTGCAAGGGAAAGGGCAAACACTGGTAAGCGCCCTCCCCAGGCCAGGACCCACATCCCCCAGGAGGAGGTACACTGGAGTCAGATACTCACCCTCCTCCAGGTATAGATGTAGGCAATATCCATTAGGGTGTAGTAGTCCTTCAGAGGTTCCTCTTCGTACATCACATCAATCTGTTCAAGACATGAAACAGCACCCAGGTATTTACCCCTAGCATAAGAACGCTCTGAGGTGAATGCAGCCCCACTGTTACAGAAAACTGGGGGCAGAGGGGGGGAAGCTCTTCCAAATTCAGCAGGAAATAGGGAATTTTCATATCTATTAGATAGATGTGAAGGAGCAATTTCTTGATAGCTAGACATTTACGGTATGCAGAAATTACAGAGTGTCACCAAAGTGCCTGGATAGATATTTTAAAAATAATGTTGATAATCCCATCAACATATTGCACACACCAGAAATACTTGCTGGAACTGGCTGCAATGAGAAAGAGTGCTCACCAGCATCACTGGGCTGAGAATAGCAAGACTGATTACAAAACCAAAAATCCCTCTTTCCCCAGAGGTACCTGGAAAGTGTTGGGTATATCCATTTTACTCCTCAGGAACTTTCTTAGATGCATCACTGTCATTGCTGCTGGGCAGCGCAAGTATCTTTTGTCATTCACCTAATGGCATGGTAGATAAAGTCAGTCTACTGAGAACAAGCCATTACTCCCACCAAAATTGTATTCTCACATTTTATGTCATCTTTCAGAAAAATGCACTTTATTTAATGACAAGCTCTAATATAACAATTTCTGCTGCCTTAGAAGGAAGAACAGAAATAAAGCGATAAATCACAGAGACAGAGAAAGTAATTAAAAAGGCAAGTAATTTTTTACATAAAGATTTGTATGTCATAATAAATCCCTTCTTGGGATATACATATATGCATTATATATTAAATTTTAAATTAATTTTTATATATGTCTTAAAATACAATTTTATTGCAGAATTTGACAAAAAATCATACTCTGCTTTAAAGTTAATACTGCAGGTATTTTTTATTTTACAAAGTTGCTTACATATATGGCTGTATGAAGATGTTTTACCTCTTCTGTCCCTAGCGCCATGACAGGAGGTGTGCTTCTCATGTTCTAGATACACGTACCTAGGTCTTTTTCTCAGCTCCAAACATGCCCCAAAAATGTTTGTGTGTGTTATGCTTCCCCTGGAGTAAAGGAAAGTTATTTACCTCTTCCTTTGATTTTTCTTTCTCCTTATTTCCTTTCCGTTCCAGTCTGTGAGAAGAAATGAGACAATGACCACAAATAATAAATAGAGCTGCTCTCAGTCACGCAAACATAAAATATTACCATTCTGGAACTTGCCTATTCTGGTCGAAGAATTCAATGGATAAGCTTATTATCTCGTCGTCTGTTATAATTCTTTTGTCTTCGTCAGCCACTTCTCCCCTGTCTTCATTAGAGCCATTGGCAGCTGCGCAGAAATTTCCACAATCATTTACATTTTGAAATTCAAATCAGGAAGAATGGCAATTCTCAATAACAAGAAAAAAATAAAAGAAGAAAAAAGATCTCCATAGTAAGATTATGAATTAAAGCTACCTAACTGTTAAAACAATAAACTTTTATCATGCTGAGTTTACTCCTTAAAACCATGTCACAGTACATGACATAATTTGTAAGTCAAAAGGAAAGAGCAAAGCATCTAGGTCAATGCTACATTTATGGAAGTGCAAAATGAGAAGCTTTTACCATCAGCCGATGGATGAGCAGCATAAAAATCCCTTCTTCTTTTCATTTCATCTAGATGGAAAAGCATAGATTGTTCTTTTAGTATTTACTCTGTAATTCCTGGCATTGACAGAGAACAGCAGCTCTGGTTTAGCTTTTCTGCTCTTGACAAAAAGCCCGATTTAGCTACTTACTTTTGAAAAGGCCTGGTACTAGCTTGTATACAATATCTTGGAGAGTTTTATCTGACCTGGGAAAAAAAAAAAAAGAACAACCTCAAAATATAAAATTAAGCAGATGAAGCGATATTTTAATCCAAGTGGCAGCTCGTCATTTATAATCTTTCACAACAATGAGGCATCTTCTACAAACTGGGAGGCTAATCTTAAAAAGTTAACTTACAAGAGCTTATAATCAAACTAACACTGCTCTAAATACCGCTATAAACCAAACCTCATCTCTGCTACCACAACTGAAAAAGAACTCTCCTGGTCTGAAGGAAGGCCTTAAAAACTACATCTCCTCCCTAAAACATAACGAGAGCAGAAAGTAACACTGACAGCAAAAACAGTTCTGAAAGGAAGAGCGTGCTTTAAAGGCTTTTGGGAAGTTTCAGCAAGAGTTCTCATGACTAGGGCTATGGCAGGAGCAAAGCTTGTTTGGGAGACATAGAAAGTGGAGGTAAAAACTGTCGGGCTGGTCCCCATGAGAATGGGAGAGAGGGCAGAGGCACTGCATCAATGCCTGGCGTATGCAAATAAGGACTAACAAAAAACTTTCTGACTCACATGCAGAGAAATCTTCAATTTCAATCAATGACAACACTCCAAAGAGAGAGCATACACACGAGTTAGCTTGTAAATTGACAAGTCTTTTCAGATTTAAATCGCAGACAGAGATAACATCGACAGGACTACTGCTGGTCTGCCCATATAAAGGGGAATACGAGAAACAGGGTGCACGCTGCACGCTGCATCTTCCTCCTACCTTATATTCAAAAGTGGTCGAGTTTTGTGAACTTGGACATCGCAGATGGGACAGTACTTGCTGGTCTCCAAGTAACGCACGATACAGGTCTTACAGACTGCAAGTCAAACACGAAAGCAGGGCTTTTTTTAGTGATGGCCGTAGGTGCCACTCAGCTGTGCATAGATCGAGGTGCGATTTTCTAAACTATGCAAGCTACAGCAAACCGTCCATTGTCAGCAGCGCGCTGCTTAAGCTAAACAAATACCCAAATAAGCGGCAATTACCATGAAAAGGAGACGCTTAGAGTACATATATTATTACTTTAACAAAGACTGTAGAGCCGTCGTCAGAAAAAAACGGCACCGCGGCCGGGCCCGCCGGTGCTGCGGACGGGCGGCGGGGCCGAGCACTTCGGGGGGTCTGGGCTTGGAGGGGAAGAGGGGAGGGTGTTCCCAGGATGCCGGGAAAGGTGGGAAGCGGCGGGGGAACAACGCGGAGCGCCCGGTCGTACTTACAGGAGTGGAGGCACTCTATGATGGTTGTTGCATCAATGAAGTACCCGCCGCAGAGCACGCACATGAGATGGGGGTTTAGTTCGGTTATTTTGATTCTGGTGGTTCGGTGCATTTTGGCGTGGCGAGGGGCGGTTCTGGAAGACAGACACACACAGAGGACCGATCAGCGGGGACCAGCGCGGCGGCGTCCCAGGTGCCGAGATCCGACGCGTCCCCTTCCCCCGTGCCGCCGCATCCCCCGGCGCAGGGGAAGACCAAGCGCGGAAGGCGGCGGAAGACGGCGGCGGTGGCGGCGCGGGGCCGAGCGGCGGCCGAGGGCTGGTCCCGAGGCCGGCGGAGTGCCCCGCACGGCTCCGCACCGCCTCGGGCCGGCCTGGGCGCAGCCCCGCGGAGGCGCGGTCGGTCCGCGGCACCCACCGCGCCGCTCCTGGGCGGACACCGGCTCTCCTCGCGGAGCGGCGGGGCACCAGCCGGCTCGGGCTCCCCGGGCGGCTCAGCGGCGATGCGGCGGGACGGAGGGGAGCTCTGAGGGGGGAGCCGGCCGGGCACCGGGCTGCCGGCGAGCAGCACAAAGGGGAACCAGCGCCTCCCGGTGCGGCTGCCCTGGCATTTCCGGAGAGCGGGGAGGGGCGGCGGCGGGGGAGGGACAGAGGGGGGGACACGCACCTCGGAGCGGGGCCGGGCACCGGGGCGGCGGGGCCGGCCCGCGAGGGGGGTCCGGGCGGCTGCCGATGCTGCTCGGTGCCGATCCGGATCTGCTCCGCTCTCCGAGGGGGTTGCTATAGCAACTTACACTTACACTTGGCATCCTGCCACCGCTGGGAACACACGAGAGCCGGGCGGGGGGGCGGGCTGGGGGGGCGGGCCGGGCCGAGCCGAGCCGGGCCAGGGGGTGGGACGCGGGGCCCGGGGGCTGGCGGAGGGGGTGGAAGAGCCGAGGAGCCCGCGGGGGTCTGGGAGCCCGGTTGCGAGGGGAGGGGGAGGGCGGGGAGGACGGGGGTGGTGCGGGCGGGGTCCGGGTGCCACAGCCGGGAGGGTGCCGGGGCGCGGTGCGGGGCAGCCAGGACCGAGCCGGGCTTCGGGGTCGCAGCCCGGAGGAGGCGAGCGCCAGAGGCTCCTCCCGAGCCTCGGCCATTTCGGATCCTCTCAGGGGCCTCTCTCCACGTCGACTCGGTGCGAGGAGCTGGTCTGAGATCGCTCCTCTCCCCCTCCGCTCCCTCCCTCCCTCCGCCGCGCCGCGCTCCCTGGACCGAGCCCCCCGCACCGCCAGCGGGGTGCGGAGCCCCAGCTCCCGCGCAGCGCCGCCGGCATCCCTTCTTCCTCATTCTCCCCTTCCCTCCTTTCTCTCTTTCCTTCCTTCCTTTCTGTCCCACCCCGCAACTCTTTCTCTTTCTGTCCTTCCCTCCCCTCTTTTGACTCTCGTTTGAAAAGCCTCCCGCGGACGAAGCGAGCGCGGTGCAAAGTTTTGCAAGAGGTGGAACGAGATTTGCAGCACCAGTGTAAGGTGTTGGGACAGGAGAAAACAAGTCTCCGGATCCTTAAACAACCCCCCTTTTCAGCAATAAAGCCCACCAAGGAGGTGGGGGGATAAGCCCAAACCGACTTTAAACGGTACATTAGTGACAACATGAGAAGGACCATGTGACCAGATCATTCCTAAAGCTAAATCAACACCTTGTCAACACAATGCAGCGACAAGAGTGAAAAACAAATGTCATTTTCACAGCCTGAAACCCATAAACCCTCATCGGATGCACTGGCACCAACATTAGATGCACACATACTATTCAAAATGAGAGGGAATAAGAGGCAGAAGGGAAAGGACACCGGGGAAAAAAAAAAAGAAAACCTGTCAGCCACGTCAATTGCAGAGTAAATTTTGTGTCTAGATCCTGAAAAACGTAACGTAAGAGCGCTGCTCCAACGCAAGACCTCCATTTCCCCATGCCGGTGCTCCCAGCACACCGGTTCTTGCCCTGGGTCCCCACTCCTCCCGAGGCAGAGCTTGCGAGCCACCTCTCCCTGCAGCACCCGGCGGGCTGGAGGAGGCTCAGGATGCAGGGTGCTCCTCAGCCACTCGCAAACTTCGATGTTAAGCAAAGGAAAAAAGGAAAGAAAAAGGGGGGGAGGGGGAGCGACCCCAACACAGACAGCTTTCTGAAAGCTCTGAATTTCGGCCAAACTGCCCAGGACAGGGGTACAATATTCCTCAAGAAGTGTGCACAGCACCAACGAAGGACCCTAGCCAGGAAACGTCTCTTGCTGCCGCAGGAGAACCCTCGAACAAGCAGCAGAAAAAACTCCCCAGCATCAAAATGCAGCCGGCTAGCACACGGAGAGGCGAAGTGCAAGGAGCTCCGAGCCAGACCAGGTTCCCCGAGCTGCTCCTAGCTCCTAGTGTGGGAAAGCGAGACCCCTGCTGCATTGTACTGCGGTTTAAATGTCGCTTCCAGGGTCTCTGACCCTCCGCTTCTTACTACTAAACCGATGCCGAGGGTTTCCTTGTCCGAGAAGGCAGAGCCCGGGCTCTTGCGCTCCTCCCTGCAGCGCCCAGCGCCCTGAAGCCAGCGGCTCTGGGGTCCCTTTATGTACTTAGACATGGGCAAGCTGCTTTCACGGCTCTGTTTTTTATTTGTTCAAGTCACTACCTTATAATTCATAAATATCTGAACCAAAAAAACCCAGCAGTGACCGAGGTCACGCAAGCCGGCTGACCGAGAATTCCTTCCCCGCCCTGACAGACTGGGACAAACCTTTCAAGACATAAACGCGTTTATTTCACGCAGGCGTAGCCCCTTCCTAAATGGAGGGGGATTACATTCAACCGTGAAACCTGTTCTGTCGAAGCAACCCCTAAACGCGAATTATTTATTGCCCAAAGTTAGCACGTTTCCAACGTGCTGAGAGCTATCTTTGCAATCACTGATTTTCCCCAGCGAGCTGAACCAGGCGCCCAACTTCTCCCCAAAAGCCACCCGTACAGGCACACGATCACGCGAGTCTGTGCCCGCGGGTGTGTAACACGAGGGCAGCACGTTTTACTACACCAGCCTGAGCTTAATAGTTCGGTACGAGGGAAACCCTTCCAGGCTGTTTTTTTTTTTTAATGCTCGTGCTGATAATCAGCACGGCGAATACCAACACTTCACCCAGTCAATACAAACACCCTCTTAACCAGAACAATATATATTTACACACTGACACACGGAACAACTAAACGTAAAATACGCAGAGATAATACTCGCTAGAAGTAAACACTGCCAGCCGACTGATTATTTAGAGGCCTTAAACGGGTTATGTCAAAATGAAGAAAAACAGAGGTGCGTTCTCCTCCTAGGAATCAGCTACATTATTAAAAATCTATAAAGGCTATAAGCTATCAAACCTCGTTCGACAGGTCTCTAACAGAAAATACATACATAAAACCCAGAAGCATTGCTCAGGTAGGTCTGTGTACTTTGCACCCATCTCTTCTCGGAAAACTCTTCACATCAGGAATAAAGCAGCCGTCATTCTGCATCTTCACTCACTATCAGTCAAAGCCACTTTTACTATCGAGCCTGCTACTACTCCTTCGCTTCAGAATGGCCCCATATGTTTCAAAGGAGGGGATGATGCTTCCTTCAGAGAGGGCACACGGAACTGGAATATATCTGCCCAGCCCTCCAGCAGCGAGGAAAGCTCTGAATATTGGCAACAGAGTGTGAAGGGACCCCAGCCCCCTAAATCGCCTCTCTGGAACTAGGCGAAGGACACGATCTGCCTACTTTAAAAATACACTAAAATGTGAATTTTGCACTGTCTAAGTGACCAAATAGGTCAAGCCTTCGTGCCTCTGGCAAACTGCAGCACCAGTCTCCCAGTTTCCAGGACGCACTGCACAGAGGCACTGAGAGTAGTTTTACTGGACTCTGTTTCCAGAATCTCCCTGATCTTCGGGACAGCCCCCTAAAATAAGTTGCTCTGACCACTACAGACCACGCCAAAAATAATAATAATTAAAAAAAAAAATGGGGGAAAAAAAATCCTTTTCACACTAGGCTTGCCAATGGGCACACACGGCCAGGTTTTCCTCAACTTTTCTGGAGAGTGGAGGAGTGAACCAAAGTTTCTCGAGGCTGAAAAGTGACTACCTCACTTCTATAGAAATGCGATTTTTCTGCTTATTTTTACCTCATTATTTGCAAATATTCGCAGTAAACACAGAGGAACATCCTGCGTTCTATATTGCCAAGGCCACACAATTCCAAGAAACACACACCAGCAACTTTCCAGGGCTGCCCATCAGCAGCACAAGGAGCCCACTCGTGACACCTCTAAGATGTGATAAAGGATTTCATGTAAAATTACCCTGCCCGGGCTCAGGATAAACCCAAAAACACCAACCAGAGAAAAGCAGAAACCCCCCTGCGTCCCACAGACACATCACCTTTGCTCCAGAGGCTCCAGCAAACCGCACGCCCCAGCTCCCCAAGATCGCAGCCAAACTGCTACTCTCGCCCCCCCCCCGAAAAGTTATTTCTCTGTGCTGACCACCCCTCTCCCCTCCCAGCAGGCAAAACCCCCCAAACTTCAGCATTTAGAGCAGAAATGTAAGAGGAGACATTGGAAACAACTGGGAACCGCCATCTTACAACCCATCCAATTTCACACAAGTACTTGTCCAACTTAAGTTAATAACATTTTATGCTTGGCGCCCCGACGCCTAACAACCCCTCCAGGAGGATCGCTACCCCCCGCTGGCTCTATCTCTATAAAATGGGCGCGTTATCTGACATTTTAACCTCCCCCAGACACATTTCTTTCGGGGAGGACTGAAATCACTTGACCCAGGCAGCTCCAGATTTCACGACCGTCCCTGTTTAATCAAAATCTGCCTTTAAACAAAGAGCGCTGAGGCCAGGCTGGCAGCAGGGTCTGGAAATATAAATATTCTCCTCGGGGGCCATGTGCACAGAAAGGTTTTAGGGGGCGTGTGGAGAAAGAAAGGAACTAAAATTTGCAAATGTGGGTGCGCAACGCGAGCGAGTGCACAGGCTGCTGCTGCTGCTGCTGCGTGTCTATATGTGTGTGTGTGGCTGGAGCAGCCTGTCAGCGCTTTTCCCATACGGAGAGCTCGGGGGACACCTAGGCTCCCCTTTGCAGCCCCCAAACCGGCCGAAAACCGCCGCCGAGCCCCCTTCGCCCCCTGCCCTTGGTAAGGCGACACCTCGCTTCATACGTACCCGGAAAACGGAGCCGGTGGGTGATGATCGGAGCGGCCAAAAAAGACAATGAAAGTTAAAAGTCGTTCAGCAGAAAATGAATGTGAGCCAAGCGGCCATCTTGAAACGAACTGCAGACGCTGTCAATTGCAATAAGCTTATTGCCGCCGCCGCCGCTGCGCTCCGCGCATTTTAGTTACAAAACACCCGTGTTTCCTCCGGTCGTCCACCGGCCCTTCTCGCTCCCTCTCGCTCTCTCTCCCTCCGAGTTCGCCGCCCCGGCGGCTCAGGCGCTGGGAGCGCAAAGTCTCCCCGGTCCGGATGGGTCCTCTCTCCACCAGCCCATTGTCTCTCCCTCTGCCCCCCGCTCCGCCTCGCGGCCTCGCTCGCGTTCCTCTCTTTATTATTGCTGTTATTAGTACGAGTATTATTGTTGTTGTTATTTCATAGTTGGTGGCGGGGACCCGGGGAGGGAAGGAGGGCGGGCGGGCAGGCGGGCGGGAGGAGGGCGGAGGAGGGAAGAATGCAACGCTGAAGGCACACACTGGAAACTGACACCGTCCCCAAAATGGCTCGGAGTTCGCCCGCCCCGCCAGCGTCACGTGGGGCGCCTCATTCCTTAAGGGCGGCCTGGGAATTAGCGGCGCTGCCGCCGGGGCCCGGCAGCCTCCCCGTGACCCAATCCCGCAACCCGGCCTCCTCCTCCTCCCCCTCCGCCTCCCCCCTCCCTCCCTACACTCCCCTCCCCCGCCCGCCGCCCCCTCCCCTCCTTCTCCTCTCTCCCTGTCTCTCCTCCCTCCCTCCCTCCCTCCTTCCCTCTCTCCTCCCTCCCCTCCCCCCGGCCCTGCACGCGCTCTCCCGCGCGCCGCCGATGCCTCCTTTTCGCCGCCGCGCCTCCCGCCCGCCCAGACCCCCGGCCCCGATTCCGATCTCGCCTCTCCCCGCTCCCGCTCCGCCCGCAGCAGCCCTATGTCTCCTTCCCCGCACTCCCTCCGCCCGCACCGCCCACCCCCTTCAGCCCCTCCGCTGCCTGTCCGCGCCCTCACCGCCTATCGCTCCCCCTCCGAGCTGCCCCTTAGGTCCCGCGCCTAAACCAACCCTCCCCCGTCGCTCCCCGCACCCGACGTGGTGCCTCCCCCGCCCCGCCCGACGCTGCCCTCTCTATCCTCTCCGCAGCCCCTCTGCCCGCACACCCGCTGTTCCCGCACGCCGCCCTCGCCCACCACCCCGCACTTGTTACGTCCCGCACGCCCCGGAACGAGCCCCCCGAGGGGCACTGCCCCGCGGCCTCGCGCCCCCGCCGCCTCGTGCGTGCTGATCCTCGGCCGCACGCGGCCCCGGGACTTGGCGGGGTCGCCGGCGTCGGGGGGGACGCGACCCCCTGGGGCCGCGCCGAGGCTTCCTCTCCCCGAGCGGCGGCGCAGCGGGTGTCGAGGGCACCCGGGGTATTTCCCCACCCCCCCCCCCCCGGCAGACGGGGAGCACCGGGCGCTTCCACCGCAGTGGGCGGGAGGGAAGCGGGGAAACCGTCGCTGGTGCTCTCCGCCGCCGCGGACAAGACGCCGCCCGCAGCCCGGGAGAGACGCAGCGGGGCGGGAAGAACCCAGCTCTACGCCGGGCGCCGCGGCAGGGCGAGGGCCCGCCCGCCGCCGCGCTTCTTCCGCGGGGCCGCTGTGCCCCCTCCTGCAGGTGCGGACGTGCTCCGCAGCGGCCACCGGCACCGGGGCGGCCCAAGGCGGGCGGTAGAGGACGGCAGCGGTCCCGACGGCGGGCGCGGAGCGGCCCCGCGAGGGCGGGAAGACGCCGTCGGGCTGGAGCCGACAGCCGGCTCCGCTCGATCCTGCGGGCTGCGGCTTTTCGTGGGGTGCCCCGGCCCCGCAGGCAGCTTCCACAGCCCTTTTTGCCTCCGTTACCGGTACAGCCGCCGCTCTTGCAGAGGATTCAAGACTGGTTGTGGCGAACTGACAAAGCGCTGTGGACAACGGAGCAAAAGCGCCGCGGTAGCGGGAAGGGGGTCGAGACTTTGGGCTCACAGAGCCGGTCTAACGCTTAGCACCTTACTGTTAGGTACAGCTCATTCACCCACAGAGCATGCAGAACAGGAGCGAATAAACTTTATTAAAGCCCAGAGAAAAATAATCAGTGACCATTCTAAAAAATATACAAAATGAAAGGGAAGGAATGCCTTGAAGACATGTCATGTAGCCAAATATTTAACACGAGTTAATAAAAAAAAAGTGACCAACCAAGGAATACCAAGTGAGGTCATAAAACCCCAGTTATTTCACTTAATTCGCGTTCAAGGACTTTAAAAAAAAAAAAGGAAGAGTTTGCATCAAGAGATGAAAGACATTTGTCATTTAGAAGACACTCCTAGGAATGAGAGTAGGAATGAGAGCACTTCAACTCAGTGGGCTGGCACCTTCCTTCAGTCACATCTGAGACGCTCTTTCTAAACTTTTTGCAGCATCTTTTAGTTTTCCAACTAAATCCTAAGAGATGAAACACTACCTTAGAACATACTTTTTTTTTTTTGTTAAAAGGTCAACTAAAGGAACATAGTATTTATATATATACACAGAGACAGAGAGAGGCAAGGAAACCAGCACCTTATATCACAAAGAAATGTTGCAACTGATGAACAATGCCAGCAAGCCATTAAACAGCTCCCTATTCTACCATGAAGGAAGAAAAGCAGGAACTGAAGGAACACACCTTTTAATGTGTATAATCTACTGAAATGGATCACTATTCTCAACACAAAGATTTCCTTAATGCTGTCAGGATGGCTGAGCTGACTCTGCTTTGGGCTTTGAAGTACTACAGACACCTCTAAAACACTGAAAATATTTTGAGTGCAATTTTGTATTAGGACCGTTCCCCAGCCAAATCACCTCAGATTTACCTAAGCCAGCAACCAACCAAAAACACCCATTAGGAAGACAAGGACACCTTTTGAGACACGCATTGAAAAAGTAGAGGTGTAAACCTTAAGTTTTAATATCTCACTTTTTCTTCCCCTGGCCAAGCCCTCTTCCCAACCCTCCACAGTTTGGTCACTTCCAAGCATTACAATACCTCCATTGTTCAGTTACACATTTAAATCGCTAAACAAAGATCAACATTTGTTTCAGGACATTTCTTACATGTCATTTACACCAGTGAAGAGACTTCAGTTCGTTCTCTACTTTCAATTGTTCCACATTTAAACCACTGATCCAGCTTCTTTAATCATTTATCCAAAGCATGAGAAGTCAGTTTCAGAAAAATTATGGTATATATAACATATATATATAAAACTTTAAAGAACATGTAAGTTGTGAAAACAGACAAGATATTTATGCACACATGTAAAACACTCCCCATGCAACTAGAATCAGTTACTCTGCAACTTTATTTGAGAAGACAGGAAAACTACACTTGGGTAATTTTAATAGAAGATTCTCCTCTCCTGGTACTGGATATAGGTTTTTTTTTAATAATAATATATATTATTTCACTCCGGCAAGTTATTAAAAACATTTACATCCACAACTAAAGCCAAGTATAGAAACAATGATGAAGGAAAGAGGTACCTGTAACTGCTCCATCGTGCAACTAAAGCTAACATCTGGGTGTGATCCTGAATCACTGTTCTGAAGAAAAAAAAAAAAAAATAAAAAAATCAACAAACAACAATGCCTGTTTAAAAAAAAAATACAATGAAACTGCATTTTTTCCCCTGAGGGTGCTGGGGGTACAGTACCTCCTCTACGTTTAAGGTCACCAAGTAGGAAGGCTGGTAAGTTTTATGAAGTTGATTGTTCTAAATTAAGGCCAAAGAACACAGGAAAAAGTCACGTCACAGCACAGAAACAGACTAAAGAAACCCCTCAATGTGTTCAAATTACCTTGATCTGATATTCCAAGCGCCAAGACACATCAGTTATATGGAGAGGAGATCTGCCTATGCTGAAAGACACAACAGTTACAAGCTCCCTACACTACAAGAGAATGTCACTTTCTCAAACTGTCTATCAACAAAGAACTTTTTCACCATCCTTGTAAGACTTCTTGAGAAGTTCAAAAAGTTTTCTGAATAGTAGAATTATGAAAAGAAGAGGAAAAGTTTCAAGAGCTCTTTGCTAAAGTTTGTTAAAAATGTGAAATTTATTTCTTTTTTTTTTTTAAATGGAACAGTATTTCTGACTTTAATCACCTAAAGCGTGTATAGGACAGTTTCAAAGTAGCTGTAATTGCAACTACGTATCTGTGCTAACTGACTGACCTACCTTCCCAACAGGATTTCCAATGCATCCTTGTTTTTCTGGAAGAAAAAAAAAAAAAAAAAGATAAGAAATTGCTCAATAAATTCGTATGAGTGAAAGAAAACATAAACATGTTAAAATTGGTTTTAAAACCTGATATTCGGTGCAAAACTGTTCTATTCTCTCTTTATCCAGTTTACAGTCTTCTAGACATGTGCTAGAGGGAAAAAGAATTTATTAGTTTTCTGTTAACATTAGCTCAGCAGCACAGCTTAAAGTAACAACCGCTAGAAAAAGGGGGTAGCTTTGAAGTATGAGTACCTTATAGCAGATATGTCGGCTTTCTGCTTTCCTGCCTCCAGAATACACATGGCAGCCGCAGCATGGCAATGTTTTAATACCGTGGGGTCAATATCTTTCAGGTCCGGATCGTCTAAAGCAAATGAATTACTGATGACACACATGCGAAATCCCAGCACACGGTACCATGAGCTGCTGCTCGCCCTTTGAACGGTACCTTTCCCACAAAACTTTTAAAATGGAACACATGTGGGGGCTTAGAGCAAAAGGACGGAGCAAGTAGGCAAAGTGCGAGGAGGAGGAAGAGAGGAGCTGAAGCACTGGCTGGTGCAAGCCGTGCCAGGCAGGGCTGACAGGCGCTGCACGCCCCGCCGCCTCGGTATCAACTTTGCATTAAAAAAAAACAAACAAAAAAACAAAACAAAACAAAAGAGCTAAAAAAAAGGATAGAAAAAGGGGAAAACCTCAATTTCCTGCCTCCTGAGACAGATCCTCTCCGAAGCCTGTCGCCAAAGGCGAGGAGCGGAGTCGGAGACCCCGGCCAGGCAGGGCACGGGGACTGCCCGCCGGCGCCGGCAGCACCGGCACATCCCTCCCTCCGGCCGCGATGTCATTAACACCGCAACATTAATTGCGCGACCGCGTACTCCCACGGCGGGGTGGCCGTAGGAAGGGTCTACACGCGAAATAAAAACACGGGCGGAACGGAGCGCCGGCGGAAAACCACCTCTATGCCCTGCTTCACGGACACGAATACGCGGGGGACGCCGTCCGGGACTTCCCCCCTCCCCGTCGGGAGATTTAAGGTCGCCAGGTTTAATCTTTACCGAAGCGTGCGCGCATTAGCGATGACACCCGCGCAGCGGCACCCTGGAGCCGTTCAAGGGCGACTCCCCCCCCGTGCCTATGTGCCGAGCGACGGGATAGCCCGCAGCACAGACACGCGTATGCATGCCGCGGAGCACAGCGCGCTGCCTTGCGCGCTCCGCGCAGCATCCGCGGCCCGCCACGCCACCGCCGCGTCTCCCCGCGCCTTACCCAACCCTTCCTGGGAGTGCCCTAGGAGGAGGCTGCGGAAGGCGGCGCGGAGCAGAGCGGCGTAAGAACGGCGGGGGAAGCGCCGGGGGTCGCCCAGCAGCCGCCACCCTCCCTGCGCGTACGCCGACAGCTCCATTGTGGGCGCCGTGACCTTCGACACGCGCCCACGTGACGCGCGCGCAGCTGATCGCCGCCACGAGGCGGAGCCGCCGCTGCCGCCTACTGAAGGAGGCGGGGGGGGGGAAGCGGGAGGAGGCGCCGATCGTCGGGGGCCCCCGACGATCGGCGCCTCCTCCCGCTTCCTCCCCCCCCCATTCTAAGGGGTTTATTTCTGGATAAATCATTCAAGTGCCTCTATATCATTAAATCCCAGAAGTGCTTATATGGGGAACGCGTCTTTAATGCATTGAAATCCCCAAATTCAGGCTATACGTTTTCATCTACCCGTTGAAAACGTCAGGAATAGAATCCGATGCCTTTAGCCATGGGTTATTTTGCTTTGGACGCGTCTACCTGTTGCAAGGTGTTTCCCTGTCCTGTCCGCCCTCATTTTTATAGACCTGTGTACGAAACCACAGTATCACCTTTTACCTGTAGTTATGGGCAGCTGAATTTTGAGCTTAGAATCAAGGTAATGTCATAACTAATATTGCTGGAGTGTTTTGGTAAAGGCTTGCCACATTTTTAACACCCATAAAATAGTGACAGGTAATACAGCCTTCACCTTTGCGGTGATACAGCAAAGACCTACAAATGCTGTCTAAACCCATTTCCACCTTAAGCAAGTTAATTCCTAATGTGAGATGTTAACCTGTTGTGTTTGCATTTTGTTTTTTTACATATTGAAACATTGTCATGGTTCTCAAAAGAAGTTAATGTTATCTGTAGGTAATGACATGATATTTAGATGTCAGCTAAGGACCAAGTTAGGACTGATCTAATAAAACATAGGTAAAGGCCTTACTATGTCATGACGTATACAACATTTGAAGCTGAAGTATACAAAATATTTTACATCTCACCTTTTTATTTGCACTTGGCTATTTTGGATGGACAAGAACATTACTATGTAATCTGGCCTTTATTCAGCAAACACTTCTACTGTATATTTCTTAAAGGGGAATTCAATGTTGAGAGCTGCTCAGTCTATTAAAAATGAGTAAAAGCTAAAGGCCTCTGCCAGATTCGTGATTTTAAAATAACATCTATATAGTGCCATTTTTTCCCACTACGGACACATATCAGACAACAGAAAGTGCAAAGCCAAACCGACCTTGCAAATGGTTGCCAAATATGTCAAATAATAGGAAAACAGCACATTTTCCCCTGTAACTGTTTAATGTTAATTGACTTAAATAGCTCGCAGATAGCCGTACTTACAAAGCATATTCCAGAGTCATGTAAAATAGCGAGTGTAGCCTGATCTTTCAATCATGTGCCGACCTGTGCTGCAATCCATTTGCAGGTTGATGGTGCTGTCAGAGGACCACACTCCTTCCTAGAAATGAGCTTTGAACAAACACACATTTCATTTCACCTGAACTATTCATGATAATTGCGTGGTAGATGATTTAATCAAAAAGCTGTTAGGAATTTTTGCATATGTATCCACAGCACTCACTAATTACAATCAGTCATCTAAGAGCTCAGTCTGGCTTTGGAAGCCAGTTCAAGTTTGGGTTGCAGCAGGAAGTGTAAGATTAGACTTTGTCACATCTCACCTCATCACATTTTATGTTTATATGAATCATGCTATATCTGAGATCACCACTGTTGTGTTTTCTTTCTTTTTTTACTTTTTGTGATATTAATATAGTTCTGTTATGCACACCCAGCTGCCCACTTGGCCCAGATGCAGAGCACAGCAGACAGGTGATTCTACCTTCCCCATTTTGTGGCATCATGGCTAGTCTGGACACTGTGTTGTAAAAATATGCTTTTGTATACCTAGGTCTCAATTCTGCTCAAGTCAAGGTCAAAAGGAAAATCATGCTGGTGCACAGGATCAGGCCCTTAATTCTAACACACTGTGTATGATACTGTGAAGAACAAATGCTTAGAGTTTTGGGGTGCAATCTGAAGTAGTAACACTGGCCTGAGACTTCAGCATAAAACTTAATACCACTGAATTGGTGATCTCTGAGCTTGAAGGTTCTGGCTGTCAGAGGCCCTGGTTGATTTTATTTTGCCAGAAACAAGGAAGGCATGGCAAGATGGGTTGACAAAATAAGGCTTTCTCTATCTTTTGGTATGGTTGTCAAATGTAGACATCATACCTAAGAAAAAGCAGCATAAAATGGAGAAGAAAAAGCATAAAATGGAGGAGAAGACAAAGCTCTGAGCTGTAGAATTACCAAGGTAAAAATACTAAGGCAAAAGGATAGTCACCCCCAAAAAGTTAGAAATGTGCACATAGAGCATGATCACATGTTATGGAGATTTATTCTTCAACACCCCTTACTCTTTACAGCATATTGAAATCTATAAATTAAAATCTAGTTGTTTTCAAGGCAAAACAACTGCTAAAGATTCATTGCAAGATTATGTATGTTGAACTAGTTTATATCACAAAATTTATATTTTCAGTTCCCTTACCCAGCCTCTCAGCCTGACTTTTTTTCTTTCTCTCATTTTCCCTCCAGGAAGTTCATAACATGGATTCAGACTGTCAGGTTACTCTCAGATTTTACTACTTGTGCATAGTGTATGCACATTTCAAAACCCTGTTCATTCCAAGATATGCTAAGCTGTATATTGCATAAAGAAGTGATGAAGGAAATGCATTAATACTTGAATATTAATTAATTAATCAGGGAAACAAACTACCTTGCTCCATGCAGGCTAGTATTTTTTGCAGCTTGCGTTTTGTTAGTCAAGACAAAATAATGCAACTGTTCAAAACGAAGGGGAATCAGTGAGTCCAGAGGACTAATTCATAAAATCTAAGAATGGCATCAGTATTTCTGACAAGTCTCAGATTAGCAATTTTTCTTCCATGTATTGCTCTTCACAGAGGTTGAAGTGAGTGATTTGAGATGATACTCTAGCATCAATTTTCTGCAGAATTACTACTGACTTCCAGGAGATTCATACACACATTAATGGAGCATCCCCACAACTTTTAAGTCAAATAGGGTCTTCTTTATCATAAAATATATTTTACTGCATGTATGTTTGAAGCAGGTAAGAAAATTTCTCTCATGTCATAGGCACAAAAATACATGAATACGGTAAATAAAATACCACCTTAAACCAAGCTATTATGTAGATTATTTATTCGGAACTGTTTCTGTAGACAGTCCTCCTGTCTGGTAAGACTGCAGTAGTTGTCACATATTTTGAAAAATACTTACAGCTTTTTTTGGTATGTATTAATTTCAATAAATGCATTGTTTGGTTACAGACAAGCACTATTCAATAAAATATACCTCGTTCACAGATAGTTCTGATTAACAATGAAGAGAATTAGCTTTTTAATTAAATATGTGAATGCTCTTGGCTTATTTCAGTAAGGTAAAACCTATAGTAGCTGAATATATTTTTTGTTCAGGTATTTAATATCTTTTATTCTGTTTAACCTGAAAAACATTTTTGCTACTAGGTAGTATTTTTGGAATTAAGTGACATTAATTTATTAAAAAAGAGGAACTTACATATTTACCTTTTGGTCAGCCTTCTTCAGACTTGATTTTAGCTTCTATTTGTCAAAACTTAGTGTTCCAATTTTCCCCTCATACATGAGAAAAGCTACATCTTCTTAGGCTGTAAACAAAAATTAAAAATGTAGAGCTTTCACATTTAAATTATACATTTTCAAGCTATTAATATTTCAGTCCTTATTTAAGTACTCAGGAACAACAAGAGAAGTACCACTTGTTTAAAACATCTTTGCTCCTCTATCAATTCAGGAAAATCTTGCATATTATAAAAGTTCATTTTCCCCATTATGTTGCTAAAACATAAGTCAGCTCAGAACTCTAAAAAAAAAAAAATTAAACTTATACTTTATTTTATCTTGTCAAATAAAAAAAAAAATCACAGGAGAATTTGTAAACTTTATGTCCAAGATCACACAAAAACCTGAGCAATAAAAGGATGTAAGGGTTTCAGCATGTGAGCAAGTGTCACTGCAATGTACTGGATAGTACATCCTCCAGGGTAGAAACTTTGTCTTTCTGTGTATTTTAACATATGTTAAAGTCCTTCTAATTAAGTGAAAGTCCTCTATCTAGTAAATTTCTAGTCATTCTCTTTCTCTCCCAGGGAAATAAAACTATGCATTTTATAATGTGTTGGCTCCTTCTTAAGATAAAACTCTAGTGTCTTTAACTGAATTCGTGGAGATTTACAAATGAGGCCTACAACATAAAAGATGCCGCCTTTAATGTCGGATGGAGAAATACAAAGATTCCTGCTGCTTTAGTGGAACTACTACTGTAATTCCATGTCTAGTCCTGTGTCGCAGATGAACATAGTTTGTTATGCTCACAAGAAAAAAAAGCTACAAAATGTTTTTAGCTATTATATTGATATTCTGTCTTTGCTAGCAGCATATATTGGTAGTAGCTTTTAAATGGAAATTGTTGCTACTTTTCAAATGATCTGTACATTTAGGCTTATTTTTTAAAGATTTATTACCAAATGTCTAATCTGCATTTGCTTTTAAACAGTAAACCAAGCATATTTAAAATTTGTCAATGTTTTAAGCAAGTCTTTTTACATGTTTATATACTCTATGGTTAAGATTGTAGCCTTGCTGGTGGAAGCCTGTAAGGAGGATATTATGCTCGATTGTCAAGAAGCATTCACAGTCTGTCACATTAGTGATACAGATGTGTATAGAGCAGTAATTATTATAAGCTGACATTCAGCAAATGTAAGCAAAAATAGAAAAACCTCAAAGGAAAATTAGACTGCATGTTTTAAATACTATTTATCTCCAAATGTTTAATGTCCAGACACTAAAATGTTATTTAGCGTAGCACCTAATTGGTAAAATAATTTTATATTTATATAACAAAATAGAAATGTGATTTTCTTAGCTCTGCACTTAGCTTCTTATCAAGGTAGATAAATACAGAAATACAAACAACAAGTTATCAGTAATCCAGTTATTTAAACAGATGTATGGTATAACATTTTTAATTCTCTTTATACAGTTCAGCAGTACCAAGCAGCAAAAGTACTTAAATCTTCTAACTTAATATACAGTTTTCATTTAAAAAAAAACAAACTAGTTGGAACAGATATGACAAGAAGAACAAGCACTATGTGGCTTTTTTTTTTTCTTGAATTAATCCTGCTGTTTCATGACCACGTTTGATTCTGATCATAAAGCAAAGCTTGCATGCCAAAATGATAGATGCCTTAAAAGAAGCTTTGATAAATAAAATCCTGCAGACCTTGGCATTCACAGTTCCCTTTTGGCAATAGTGAGGAATGGCTGAGTAATAGTTAGGAAACAGACTTATTTAAGATGGTTTATTGCATCTAAAGATATTAGAGTGAGATCTGGAGCTAGTGTAAATCAGCATATCTGCCTTCAACTTACTTATATTGCTTTGTGTCAGCAGAGAATCTGGCCCCTATCCATTATCTAGAGGGAATATCAACTACTACAAAGCATACTTATCTAACCAAAAGCAAACGTAGTGTGCGTAGCTCAGTGATGTTTCTTGTAACACTTATGTTAACCTTTATAATGTGATAAAAATCTGGCACAGTTACGTATGGTTGCAAATGATCTTGCTTAGATAATATCAACAATTATAAATTAGCATTTATCACTTTTAATACCGCTCAAATTACATTGATAAAAGCTTAACTTGATATTGATGAGAAGACTAGTAATTTAGGACCTTACCGTGCTCTAATTAACATTACCAGGAGCAGAATTAGGCTTCTTCTCTGAAATAGATCTGCATATCAAAGCGTATGGAGTTGTGGATTTTTTTTAATATAGTATCTTTTCTGTGTTCTCTTTTGGTGAATCTATATCATATCTAGTGATGGTCACATTTTAAAGAGCCACTAGGTTAGACCCCTGGCTTTTACATAAGAAACGTGTTACTCAACTCAATAAAATCACCAAGGGTGAATACAGATGCAGGCATCTGCAGAATCCAATCTAAAAGTTTTTGTTGAAAAGGCTGTGAGACTCTGAATAACATAACAAACCCTGACTTCATTTGTTTCGCTCAATTAATGAAAGAGGAAGTTTACTAATGATCAGAATTTTGAGCAGTAAAGGCTGGGTCTAAGTAATATTGCAACTGGTGTTTATAATGCTGCAACCATTAGACCTGTTTAGCAGCCATTTCAGCAATATCTTACAGACAAACCAGAGCACTCATTGCTGTGATTTTACATGTGCCAAATTGTCTGCGTCATTTACATGACAAATTTATTTCAGATTGTAGAAATAGTTTTGATATTAAAAATACAGTTGTGGTTTCTGCACATTTTAAATGGCAAATGACATTATGGTCAATCTGAGAAAATTAAGACAAATTCTAGATACCCTAAGATTATTTTATTGGCAAGATGACTGAAAATTACAAGTGTTCATGTACTGTCTGTTTCATGCAAGATTTATTTGTTGTGAGAGAAAACCCTGATGGTTGGTTAGTGAATTAGGTCAATAAGCAGTAGGATAGTGATAGGGAAGATTTTATTGCTCTTGGGGATTTAGGCTTCCTAGCACGGCATTTAAATCAATGGGAATCATCAGCTACCCTAATCTGCCCATACCAAATAGCACTGGGCCTGAGGTAGTACAGAAAAATTGGAAGAGACCCTAGGAAATTGCCTTTTTTTTTTTTTTTTACCCTAAGATAATTCATGAAATGTGTTATGTAGATGTTCATAAAAATATTTTAGCTACTTGTACTGTATGTGCAATTTTATAAAACTACAGTGTATTTCTGAAGGTAACACTAATTATGATCATCATCACTTCTTACCGTGCACTCATAGAACTCTTAAACTATTTTTTACAAATGCATCAGGAACCTGCCAAAATGTATCCAAGAAAGAGGCACAAGGCAAGAAATTCCCATTACAGTATAAAAAAAAATGTTAAGGTTCTGGCTTGCAGCTGCTGGTAAAGTAAGACAATGTTGATCTAGTCAAAATGATAACAGAAAGAGTTAAAATTGAAAGCTATGTACAACCGATATGAAGACGTGTAAGAAGTCTGTAATTCACAGGAAAAGCGAACACTTCTTTGGTAATATTTCAGATTGCAGATGCAGCAATGAGATGCAAAGGTAAGTCTACATTGGTTTCACATCTAATATTTTCACTAAGTACACAGGAATTTGAGGTGACTGTATACTGCCATAGCAGCACTTGCAAAGCTGGGAAACAATGTTCTTCTAAAAGAATTTTCTTTATCTATTAGTAGCAGTGAAATATAATTTAATTTTGGTCAATTTGCTATGTTAAATCCTGAATAGTATTTGATATACAGTTGATAACAATTTTAGACAATGCATTATTATCAGTGCATCATTGAAAAAAATTCTTACTGCCTCTTGCTTTCTGCTTATTATAAAACATAAATGAACCCATTCTTTGTTCAAATGGTTATATTTATTAAAAGGATCTTTTCAGATAAAAGCCTTTATCTTAGACCACCATTCAAAATAAGCGTTAGATGTTCCGCTTCAGTTCCACTGTATGTTCACATAGGAACATGATAACCTCATAGAGCTACATCAGCCTCTAACAGACATTCACTGATGGCATCATTCTAGTTTTGTCAGCCAGGAAGTCTGCTTGCAGCACCTACACAGGATGTGTATTTGTTCAGTCAAATGTTGTTGCCATTATACCATTTTTTACAGTGAAAAAGTTCCATTGAGGCCAATTAGGAACTACTAGAGTGGAGAGTGAGCAACAAATTTCAAAATTTGATCCATCATTTCTTGGCTGTCGAGCCCCGTGCCCATCTGTTCACATGGCAAACAGCCCACTTGCAAGTGAGCTGGACCCTAAGAAATGAGTGACAGGCAGGAACGGTTTAGTTAGTCTCTGTAACAATGCAAACAATTCTTTTCCTGCAGGAAGTGTGGTCCAATATCTAGGAGAGCTGGACAGCATTTGCCTCCTCTCATTTAATTACACTTTTTGACATGTATATTGTTAGAAATGGTTGAGCGGAGGAGGAAAGAAAATCAGGGGCTTACTGGTACTGGTTGCTGCCAAAAAGGCAGGTTGTATTGGAACAGGTGCTTTGAAAATCTGTGAAAGCCAGCTGAAAGGTGTCAAAATGTGCATAACATGAACCAACAGTTCACAGATATTTGTGTGAATTTGGTCTTGTGGCAGGAAAGTTCAGAAGGAACCCTCGACAGAAAGTATCCGCCTTAGGAACAGCCAGCCAGCTTAACAGGCATACCCTTGTCTGCTCAGGCACAGCATGCGTGATGCTCTCATGCAGGAGGGAAGACAAAGAAGGAAAAAGAAAAGGGTTTCTTTGTTCCACTTATATTCTTCATCATCTTGAAATTGTCAAATCAGGAAAAAAAATATATGATAATCTGTTCCTAAAATACATTCAGCTGATCATTTAGCCTAAAAATAAAAGTAGACCATTTGAAACTCCGTAAGCTGTGTTCAGCTGAGTGATTAACTGTAGAGTCTGTGCAGGTAAAACAAAGAAGAATGCATGATCCTTTTTATAGTACTGGTCAAACTGATGCCTGTGAGCCACACTTGTCCCTTGACCTTGTTAAATGTGGCCCACGTGTTGGAGGGAGTACAAGAAACTTTTCTGACACATTCCCTTCCCACATGTTTTTCCTGCAGTGTGCTACTGTAGATAGTTCTAAAACACATGGGAGTACAAGTGGCTTTCCCATGTGTATTTAAAACCTAACAGAGCTACAGCAGTCAAAACCACATGGGGATAGAAAAGGAGAATCAGGAAAAAAAAATGCTTTTCCACTATTTGTGCTCATGTTCTTCATGTGCTCAGGGAACACATGGGAGAGCAAGAGCAAGACAAAAAAGACAAGGGAGAGCAAGAGAAGAAAGGAAGAGGAAGAAAGAAACGGGCAGAAGCAAAGAAAAAGGAACAAAGCAAGATGGCATTGAAAAGAAAAAGCAGAAAAGACAAGTGAGAAAGGAGAAGGCATGGCAAGGACAGGACAGGAACTGACAAGGAAAAAATCAGAGAAAATTGTTTCACTGCTTGAAAGGATAAAGCTGAATAAGCCTGCCTGCCTGTGCTTTTCATTTCAGCTTTACAGCTTGTGTGTTTCAACAAATGTAGGAAGAGGCATCTTTTGCACGTTCCCCGGTGTCATCCCTCCTTTCATTTTGTCTCCACATACTGCATCTTTGTTTCTGCTTCTGCTCTCTGTCTCATTCTGTCTCCTGCTTCCCCCTCCCCTGTTTCTCTTCTCTGCCTCTCACAGGCAATGAATGAGACGTAGCATATCATTGTATTAGCGGGGCCATTTTTTTCCCAAACTTGCCTTAAAAATGGAATGTCAGTGAGCAAGTTATAATTCTTCCAGCTTTTTTTTTTCTTTTTTTTTTTCCCCAAGAAGACTTAGTTGAGACAGCCTGAAGTTATCAGCATAAACCTAAGTGAGCATATGGGTGAAATGTGACTTTTGCCTCATGCTAGTCATGGGATATGGTCATAGTCCTGATTTCAAGGAGCTTTACAAAAAGTCAGTACTGAGAAAGTTTTCACTGTAGCTGGTGAAGTCCAAGAGGAACAAATAAACTATCTCCTGTTTTCCTCTGCCACACTTGTGGACACAGCCTGCGTGCACAACCTCTCTCTCCTCTGTCCTTCCCCAGGTGCACTGTTGCCTGTGTGCACCACTTACCTGGTAAGCTGTTGTTGGGAGAGATGGTTTTGTATGCTGCACAGCAAATCTGAGCACAGTCACGGGAATATACAAATATTACCTTATTTAACATTATGTATTTGGTGTAATTTGAATTGGAATAAAAAGTAAATAGCTTTGAACACAATTTTATTGTATTGTCATTTGATAGGCTTGTGCTCATCTCAGATTTTGTCCCTTGCTTTGGGGATGATGATAATACTGAGTTTTGGTATCGCATTTAGATTTATGATTTTCATCTTTTAAGCAAAGGAAGATTCTTAAAATATGTATGTACTCTGCTTTTGCTCTTGCTTTCTTTTGGTTCTAAGTCTCATGCTCTGTTTTTCTTTCTCCTCTTGTTGACCCTTTTTAGTTGTATGCCAGGATCTCAAGATTTCCAAAGCGAGGAGTTCGGGAGGATGAACAGCTCTCAGGAAACGGTCAACAGCTCTCAGGGTGCAATTCTAAAGGTCATTTGTTATCACATCTGTTACTGTCAAGGCATCCTCTCTGAGGCAAAGCGCATCTGAGAGGCTGGAAACCCTAGGAGGTTCTATGGTAGGATTTTTCTCTCACATGCTGCATGATGAGACTGAAAAGAGCACATTCATCTGTGGAGTTCTCCCAGTGTCAGGGGAAAATGTCAGAAACCTTTTCCCTCTGCCATGTTTCACTGGGACCTTCATTTCCCAGAGAGTGTCCAGACTTTTAAGTGCAAAGCCTACCACTCAGTTAATATTAGGATTGATTTCACCTGAGTCTCTTGGGGAAGAGTAAATCTGGAGACCATAATTTGTCAGAAAGTCCAAGATTTCTTGACTGTGGCTATGAAGAACAGGGAGGGAGAAAGGAAGAATGCCAGGGTTGAATGACCTCTTAGTTTTGCTTGTGTTGGAACTTCCCAATGCTGAAAGCTGTTCACACCATGGAAGTTATGGAACTGATGAGGCTGGGCAAATCATGCCTCTCAGGCTTGAAGGTAGAGTCCTGCTTTGTGCTTCCCATCATCCACTAGGATCACCATGCCACATTCTGCTGGAAAAATGACAGAAGGATTTTGCATATGGAAATGAAGTCAAGCATGCATTTTATGGCAGTAATCTAATTATTTACATTAATATAGTAGCATTACATTACAACTCTCTGAGGAAAAAAAAAAGGCAGAATTTAGAATATCCCGTTCTCGACCCAAAAGAGTGTTATCTAGTCCAGTTTTTAAATAGCCTGTGAGTATAGTAAAGTACCTAATTAACTTAAGAAGAGTTTTTACATCAGGTAGAGAATATGTATTTTAAAATGTAATCACATACCAGAGTACTTGTTCACTTAATCTGTCATTTATAGGACAACATATTAGAATAATATTATGGGCCGAAGTATCCCCTAGCACAAGCTGGTAAAGCCTGTTGGGATCTATGTAGCTGTGCCAATTATATCAGTGAGTAACAGTTTTGTATTTTATTTTATATTTAATAGATAGACAAATTAACTAAACTATGACATGTCTGTGTTCATATTTTGGAAAAGAAATTGTTTGTGTAACTTGAAGAAAGTGAAGATACAGTAGCCTAAAGCATAAACCATTTTTAAGCATAAATGAATTCAGATTCTTTACACATTTTAAGATTTCACTTGATTTTTAACATATATATTGCTCTACAAAGGCAAAATGTGGTATTTTGTGGAAGAGGCTTTTGTCCTTGTCTGCAAAGAAGAGGTGTTTCAGAACTGTTCCACATTGTATTTTACATGGCAGACAGAGGATAAAACCCAGTGAATTCTGCATCTGTCACTCAAAGAAAATTCCCCTTTCCCTCTTTTGGAAAGTTGCCTAAGGATGATGGGATATGGCTGATAACAATAATCCATATTTGGGCAACCAGAAGATTGTGACAACATTAGACAGAGTAAGGGAATGCAGACCTAAAATCAAAGCATCTGTTATGGTAACTTTAACTTACCCTATTATTTCTAGATGCTGCAGTGTTGTAACTTAGATTCCTGCATTGTCTTGCCATAAAAATATACATCTAACCTTGAAATTCAGCACTAACTTTAATTTGCTTTAAACTTTGTATCATAAAATTAATATTAATGAAGCATAGCAGTTCATCTTTGTATTGGGTTTGCATGGCAAGGTTTTGGTAGCAGGGGGGCTACAGGGGTGGCTTCTGTGAGAAGCTGCCAGAATCTTACCCTATGTCTGATGGAGTCAACACCAGCCAGCTCCAAGGTGCACCTGCCGCTGGCCAAGGCTGATCCCATCGGTGATGGTGGTCGTGCCTCTGGGATAACATAGTTAAGAATGTGGGAAAAGAAAATGCACAACTGCAGCCAGAGAGGAGTGAGAACATGGGAGAGGAACAGCTCTGCAGGCACCAAGGTCAGTGCAGAAGGAGGGGAGGAGGTGCTCCAGGCGCTGGAGCAGAGTCCCCTGCAGTGCGTGACGCAGACCATGGTGAGGCAGGCTGTGCCTCTGCAGCCCATGGAGACCCATGGTGGAGCAGATCTCCACCTGCAGCCATGGAGGTCCACAGTGGAGCAGATTTCCACCTGCAGCCCAGGAAGGACCCCACGGTGGAGCAGGTGAGTGCCAAAGGAGGCTCTGACCACATGAGAAGCCCGCACTGGAGCAGGTTTGCTATCAGGACTTGTGACCCTGTGGAGTGAGAGGAGCCCACCCTGGAGCAGGTTTGCTGCAGGACTTCTGACCTCACAGGGACGTTGGAGCAGCCTGTTCCTGAGGGACTGCACCCATGGAAGGGACCCACGTGGGAGGCAGAGGCAGCGTGTGATGAACTGACCACAGGCTCATTCCCCATCCCCCTGCATAACTGTGGGGGAGGAGGCAGAGAATTCAGGACTAAAGTTGAGCCCAGTAAGAAGGGAAGGGTGGGGGGAAGGTGTTCCTTCCCTGGGAAGCGAATTTGGGTTCGCTGCTCATGCTCCACTCTGATCAGTAATAAATGAAATAGTACTTTTACCACAGGTCTGTTTTGCCCATGATGGTAATCACCGAGTGATCTCTCCCTGTCCTCATCTCAACCCATACGCTTTTTGTTACATTTTTTCTCCCTTGTCCATTTGAGGGGCAGTGATAGAGCAGCTTTGATGGGCACCTGGCATCCAGCCAGAGTCAACCTCTACAATCTTTAGACACTAATAGTACAAGTAAGTGATCTTCTACTTGATAGATTGCAAAATGTGTTGTATTTTATCCCTGATTATGAGAATAATTTGATTAGCCTCAGCATAGCTATTAAATAGTTACAGAGAGATTGATTGTAGTGGTATGAAAGATTTCACCATTAATATTTCTACGAGAGAGATTCAGAACATAAACAGATTTCATGGCTGTTCTTAACTGGAGTATCTGAATATATGCCTTTCCTTCCCTATAAACCATGCACATCAGCTTGCCATAGAAATTTCTGTCAAAACAGAAATTCCTTTGATTTTCCAGTGCTTCATATCACAACATGTTGCTGTAGCATTAACACTATAGCAATGAGGACTTGGTTGCATAAATCACAGGAGACAAATGCCCGGAATAAAATACGATAATGAATAAAAAGAGGTGCAGTACGTGATGACCCTGATCCTGTTGTGTGAGAGATCTGAGTCAGATTTCATTCTGTTATTTCAGGGAGGATCAGTCCCATCACATGTGGTAGGAAATGTTGACTTAATTCTGATTCTGCCCTCCTTCTACCATTCAGTCTTCAAATTATGGGCAAGACCCAGAGCTGGTAAACTACAGCTGCTGCATAGCCTGAATTTAGGAGTGTATGCAGAGTCTGTGCTTAGGCTGCCAAATCACATTGCACATCCTCTGTTCATTCACTGTGCCTGCTAGAATAACTTGTTATGATACTGGACTTCCAAAGAATATATTAACTTCCTGACTCTCTATAGTAATACCATACAGATGGTTCAAATAAACATTCCAAGCCAGTGCATTTTTCATCTTGGGAAAAAAAAAAATAGCAATCCAAAAGAAGTTTTGTATTTATTCAGCGCTTACTGTCATTGCCTTTGACACCAAGCACAAAATTAATAGTTTAAAAAATTGGAGTTACTCTCTAGGCCTTTGCATTGATTCTCTTTTGTTGTTCTTAATCTATTTTGTTGACCACTGCAGTCAAAAAGAGAGGAAAAACTGCTCATGGCATTAATTTTCTTGAGTTATTGCACTGTTCTGTCTCACTAGAAGTTTATTGTTGTTTTTATACTTCGAATAAAATGTAACTGCTTTTGTCTGAAGCAGAATCTGTATAAAGAATTCAAATTGTTCTTGAATTTACCTTACTATTCTAAAATTTCTTTGACATTGATACAAAACCATGACTGGGTAAGTTATCCCCATTGAACTTTTGCATGCTATTAAAAATATGTTACTTTGTTTCTTTAATGAGTTCATTGTCAGTTCATTTATTAATATTGCTGAAACAGTATGAGTGAGACCCTTAGGCAAAATCATAATGTAAATAATGGATCTTTTGGCTGTATAAGGGCTGAAGGTTTCGTTATATTTGATCACAAGTTTTGTAGTTATATTACTGTAGGTGCTCTGAGTTTTGGCTTCAGAAAGGGTACACATGATTAAATAAAGATCTTGCTCCAAATATTGCTTTTATTGGTAACATACAAATTCCCACCAGAGATATGTCACAGGGTACAGGTCTTCCATTTCTATGTCATACTGCCATTTATAAAGTAATTTCCTAATGAAAATTGTTAGATGTGCCAGGTTTCTGAGTTGGATTCTTGTACTCTGAGCTGTAATTATGGAAAAACTTACGGATGGAATTATGGAAATTATGGAAAATACTGTGCATGTCCGTACTTTTCTGAGTTTTGTTTTAATTCTTTGGGCTAATTATGAAAAAAGTGATATTTCCAATGAGTTGTGGAAAAATCAGAGTTAGCCAAATACAAATGATACCTGTTTTTAAGTAGTTTTTCAAAGCTGGACACCAAGTTTTGATCTGTCATCCAGCTGTGAGTGATGTAGATAGAAATGTGTCCCTGGTTTCAGTGGGAGCAGGAGTAGGTGGTAGTTTTTCATTCTTATACCACACATGAAAAAAGCAATTGTGTATGCAAGACTTACAGCGATGTCAGATCTACATTTTTATATGTTTTGTTACAGTCTGTGAATAACTGGACCGTATGGATATAAATCTGTCCTTGATTAAGATAGATTATTCTGGTGTCCTGTTATAAGATTATTTTACATGAACAGAGCTATCATTGACAAGTACAGAATCATTCTGATTTATAGTACTTTATGAGAAATATATACATCTGTGAAAAATGCTAACTCATGGCTGGAATTAAGGGGTAGACACAGGTTCTTTTTATTCTGCTTTTGCATTAAGGAAAACTATTTGGCCTGTTACTGTTTCAAATAGTCATGGAAATTTGCTTTCATCAGAGAGCTATTCTTCATAATTTACAGATAAGGTAAATCAATCCATAGTTTTACTACTGGAAGTAAGGGGGTATTGTAAAACTGTGGAATTAGGCAAAGTACGTAAGAACATTCTGAACCCCCAAATGCTATATTAAGGTCACACACGTTTTAAATTAGGAGCCTCTGTTCTCACTCATAAATGTCTCAGACTTTCAACTACTGATCTGAAACTTTTGGTGGTTGAATATTGTAACAGTAGCCACTGGAATTAGTAGATACTGACCCTTGTGCCATATGACAGGGTATATATAACTGCTTGCTACCCTGGCCGGGTTCATGTGACTGGAGCGAAGAAATGGAGGTTAGCCTCTCACTAGATTTTTTGCACACTAGAATTTCATTATAAAGGTGAAACTGACTGTTTTTTTAATTATTCTATCAATACAAAATACACTTACCGAAAGAATAATGTTAAATTTAAATCATTTTCCCCCCATTCACATGGCACCTATCATACTGTATTCATAAGCATGAGGAAAGCAAAACATAGCTTAGTCTCACTGCCTTCAACTTTGTGGTTGTTACCAGTAAATGCCTGAACATTAATTTATATTTTATATTTTGAGCTTAGATTTTTAAAAATTATTTTTTGTATTGTTTCTTTGCTGGTTTTCTTTTGTTCTTGCTATCTGAAAGACATGTAACATGACAAGCACTGAGCATCTATTTGTGTGAAGCATACATGGAAATGGAGAGTTATAAATATGTATGCCTGACAATAATATGTAACTATGACAAAGATATTCCTGCCTATGTTTTTGGAAGTGACCGTACAAAGCTAAGGTTTATCCAAATAATAGTAAAAATAACATTCTAAAAATGTTCTACTTACATAAATAGTCAGAAATACAAAAATGTGTACTTAGTCCCAGGTAGAAAAGCTTCTCTTTACAATATTTGGAGATAGATGTCCCTGTGGCTCCCTATCCCCCAAGATGTATTTTCTGCAGAGGTCTTTTAAATGTGAGGGAGGATAGAGTTTCGCAACAGTTTATTGCTAGATTTACAATGCTGGTGATAAAGTCATTCTTAAAAACTGGGATAGACTTCTCCCAGGAATTGATCTCTGGCTGGGTTAATGGATTATATGGGCCAGACTGTGTCTGTGACTAGCCCTTACACAGTAATGCTGCTGCAAACACGTGTGAGATTTGGCCTCACAGGAAACTGCATCTGAGAGCCCAGCACCCCTACCCACTGGGTGGGGTAACCTCTGCAACAGAGCAGGAATAAGACAGGGTCATGCTTATGCCTCTGCATTTATACAAAAGTTGGAAGAACAGTCAATGCCTTCCTAAAGGTGCTGGAAGGC